CCGCCCTGGCGAGGTTTTCCGCCGGCGAAGACATGGCTTGCCCAACCGAAGTCCAAGAGGTACATGCCCTTAGCAAGATGCTAGAATATAGAGTAGTCTTGCGAGATAAGTCTGTATGCACATATAGTGATATACATATAACGTGTGTATATATATAATATGTACAGTGGATTTCTGAGAATAATGTTCTGGGTCTGTTCAGCGGGCCGTGTTGAATTGCCTGTTCTCAAAAGTTGCTTTTGTGTCTCAGCGGGAGTCCAATTTAAACCAACTTTTGAAGTGCTGGTGTGAGGATAAATGCAATCCGGTTGCAATCGCGGTGACCGATTGCATGTAGTCACTCCAAAAAAACAAGGTACCCTCAAAGAAAGACACACTGATGTACCCCTTTTGGGGCTGGCCTTTTTTGGGAGGCCAAAGCGAAAACCTGTTTTGCGGGGGTTCCATCTACTCACTTCCCCAATTGTTCCGAACTTCTGTTTGGCACCAACCGGTCTCCTTTTCTACACACCCAAGCCCACACGAGCGAGGTTCTTGAACAACACCCGCGCCTGCGGCGGCAGCACAGCCTGGTGCTTGTGCGACGAGTCGTGTTTTTGTTTACGCAGATTGATACGGAACCCACACATCCATTGAAGAGGACACTCCTTGCAGGGGACCCTTTTTTGGGTTCCATGCGAACATGCGGGAGCAAGGTTGGTTGCGGGAACCAAAAGGAAGCCGAAGCCCATGCTTGGGGGCGGCCGCTGTTTCGGGGGTTGAAGGGAGACCAACGGGAAAACGACGCCCATGAAGGTTTGACAACTTTGGAGACAAACCAAATTTGCAAGAGGGACATCATATGAGTCAAGCAACCAAGTCTTTGAATTCTAAGAACAAATACAACTCACTCCAAAACCACACCGAGACCTGGGAGTAGTTGAAATGTGGACTCTAGCAGTCCATTTTGAACACTATCTCTCGGCAAAGGCCAACCATGAGATTTGGGCTGGGCCCCAATCTAGCTGCTACGGGGATTGTAACCTACAGACTTCTAAGGGTCTCCAAAGGTTGCCTGGTGCGTGAATATCTGTCAATCAACCCCGACAAGGACACCAATTCAAAAAACCAAGACACGTGATATGACGCGCGAGACTTGGCTCCTCTGCCAAAACTTACTGTCACTTTTTGCTTCCCGCACATGTTCGGACACGTTTTGCTGATTGAAAGGGGAAGACAAAGGAGAAGCAAAGCAGCAAAGCGCCGAAACGGTTTCGTTGTCAGAGGCCTCCCACGCACTGAAGGCGGACCGCATGCGGCACATGGCGCATCAGGCTGGCAGGCAAAGGATGTCCCGTCTTCCCAGGATTTGTGCTTGCCTTGTGAGCCTTTCGCCTGCATCCTCAAAGCATCCGGCGAAGTGGGTGGCGTCGCTGTGGAAATCGAGGGGTCGCTTTTTACCACGAGTCTTTGGGGGGGAACCCAAAAATGGATTCTAACCCCGTGTGGTATTGAAAAGCAAACCCAACAAGGTTGCTGTTGCAAATTTGAGGAAACCCTGTTTTTGGAAGAAGACCCTTAGAAACCCATTGAATCCTCCGTTCGGGGTCGTTGAGGTCCACCCTCATCGTTGTGACAATCATGGATCGGAGGGCCAGCGTTTGAGCCATCAAACCTCAAGTGTGGGCCACTACCAACCCCTCGAAATAGATGCAGTGGTCTGTCCCCATCCAGCCGAGAGCGCGGGGTTCCGCGGTCACATGTTTTGCAGCAAAAACACCTCTGGGACCCAAAACCCTTTGTTTTCATGTTGGTCGATGGTGGTGGTAAGGTTTATGCCCCATCAAAGCGCTCGGCGAGACCCTATGGCCAACTCTAGCAGGGTTTCGGGTCCCATGACAGCATGAGACCACAAACTATCAAAACTATATTGCTTCACAGGACGCCGATCAAAGCGATCAGTCGCAAGGGATTTCCAATATCGTGGAGCCATTCCTCGGAATGCCCCGAAAACAGTTGCCCCATGGAGCGTGGACGTCCGCGAAGCTCTCTCCTTGACCAAATGGATCTGATTCACTGAGAAAAAAAAGCCAACAACTTTTTGTAAGGGCAAATGAAGGAACTCCCCCCCCCAAAAAAAAAGGTAGACAGTTGAGTCTCCTCCATTTGGGTAGCCCCCTTCAAATAAAATTCGGCAGACCAGCGAGCCCTCCAGGAGGTGATAGGAGATCTGGGGAAACGCGTCACCTTGCAGGCCCACTTCTTAATTCAACTTTGCTTCAACTCTTCAAACAGCCGGCAATTAGGGTGGGCCCAACATGCTGCTGTTTTGTTTGGCTTCCCGGTAAACTGGCCTCACAAGACATCGTTTTCAACTCAACCCTGCCTTGTACTCTGGGAGTCGAGGTGCCAATCTTTCGGTGCAGAACCGCCGCGTGCTGAGCCTTCACGTCTATGGTCTGTCGCGCGCTCGCGACTTCCGGGGAACTGCAGAAGTGGATCTTGTAGTCCCTGGCACATTTCACCTGAGCTTGCTGGTGCTCAGGGAATGACCGAGCCCGGATGTCGGGAATGACCCGGTTTGGGGGATTCCCTTAAACGAACCTTAAAAGATGTTTTTTCTCGGGGTCATTCCAGTTTAGTCCCTGCCTATCGAACCAGCAAGTCGATCTCTTTGCTTGCTGGGTTCTTAAAATGGAGTGTTGCCCAATCCTGGTCCATCCCAATTGGGAAAAACAGCCCAGCTGAATCCAGCTGAGTTTCTCGGTCCCTTGCTAAAGATGGGAGATGTAGGCTCACGCGCTCTAGTCGAGTATGGCTTGGACCCTGCCTCCAATCAGTAGACCGTTTGGGTCTGTTGTTTCAGGCTACCCGTTGTGGGTTGGCCTCAAAGGAAACAACAAGGAAAACACACACTGATCATTGTGGGGGGTTCACTAAAAGAGACAGACTCATTTCGGTCACTTGTTGTTCAAGACTTGGCCCTAAAGCATCGTAGCCTCTGACCCTTGCAATTAATGGGTCTTGGGGTGGCAGGGTCCCTGATCTTTGCATCTGCGGAAAACCATGGGGAAAGGTTGAATTCATCACCGAGGTGACGGTCAGACACTTCCGGATCCAATGATTTTGAGGTCGACTGAAAAAAGCCAAGTCGCCGTCTGCTTGGTGTCCCGCTCTCCAGCCCCCGTGGCCACGACGGCAATATCCCCGGCTTGCAGGTTGGGATTATCTATGCCAGGCATCTGTCGCACCTGTCCAGTCAACAGACCTTCCTACGTGCGTGGTTTTCCTTTCTCAAGACAAACCCGAGAAGGCACCCCAACACACACAAGCTCTTGAACACGACGCCAAACTCAGATGCCCACTGGATTTCCATGGGGAAAAATGGAATATGTTTTTGGTTGCTTGAGTTTAACGGGGAAGGAGTGAGGATTCCCTTGGTGCAGAAATCGGCCCTACCAAGCTCGACTGACAAGGTTCTGGGAATGGACGAAATCAGCGAGTTGCTGTGAAAAAAAAGGCAAGCTGTTACAAATGAGTGAGTTCCCCCAAAACTCCCAACTTGTTGCACCCAAAACACATTGACTGTGCCAGTTTTAGTCAACCACCAAGTTGCATTTGTAGCATGGTGACCTTTTGCAAAAAAAAAATATGGCCCTGGAAAGTGGAATAAAACCATTCTAAGCCAGTCGAACCCATCTCTTTCTATCCTAGCCAAATTATTTGCAGGGGTTCTTTGTTTCTTTGAGAACCAGCCAGCGCCGCCATCTCCGGAATTTGGGCGTACCTTCGGTAGCACCAGCCGCACAAACTGGACTGTGTCACCCTCCTTGAGGCGATCTTTGCGTTCCAATTGTCGGTTCTCGCGCAGGAAACGCAGCCTGACTGACTGGAGAGGCGACCATTTGGGTACTCCCTTGACGTTAAAACCCGGATAAGGGGGCGGACCCCAAAAAGGAGATCCTGCAGGATGTGTCAAAACAAAAGCAAACTTGCTCATTTTAGCTTCCCTTTTAACCAAAGTAAAAAGGGCCCAGGGTTGTCTAGGGCCTGTATTCCCGTTTAAAGATCACCCCGCCAAAAGGACCCTCACTTCAAAGGGGCCGAAAGGCGATGCTTGGAACCAGCAGGGGGAATGTCCCTGTTTTTCAGCAAGCATGTAGATCTGCTTACCTAGAAACCGAGCCTGTCTGGTCGTTGTGAACATGTTGCAACGGAGATTCCATATCCTTAGAATATGGCTCTAGACAGCTCGGTTTATCACAACGGACAGCATATTCAAGTAAAATCACGTACACACTCTAACAGGTGAGCAGGGCAAGCCATGATGCAATGATGCAACACCCAGAGGTAAGAAACCCAGTGGCAAGTTCCCAGCCGTCCGGTTACCTGCGAATTGGTTTGGCTTGGTGGCCTGGGCTTTGAACCCCGGTTCCTTCTGAGCCAACAAAACCCAGAAGGTCCAAACCACCAAACTCAACCACAAGCTACAAGCTGGGGGTGAGAAAAGAAAAGCGGGTCGGCAGTGGTGTCCTTTTGGGAAATAGATGGTCCTGGTTGATGTTTCCACCGGGCTTGCCACCAGAAGGTCAGAAGCTCAGAATCCAAATTCCAATCGCCTCGAACGACTGAGCTCTGCGCAGGTACTGGGGGCTCTCCGCCTGCAGGAACACCACCTCGTCCCCCACCTCAGGGTTGTCTTTGATTTCTGGACAAACTGCAGGAAATGGTTGGCGCAGTTGGCACCCTTTGCTCTTCTTCGTGCAGCTTGCACTCAATTTCGCTTTTGGTGTGTGCAGCTCGCACAGAACTGTTGGTTTGTGCTGGTTTGTTCGGATTCGTCGAGCCCCTGGTCGAGGGATCGGCAACCCCACTTCCAAACCGCCGGGTTTCTGGAGCTGATTGGTGCATCCAGATCCCAGACTTAGACTTTCGGCCGAGGTCGGCTTAGCCTCTCGCCAAAAGAACATACACAAATCCACTTGGGGCATGGAGGGTAGCTTGCCCTCAAATCTCCACCAGTTCACGCTATGCTTCAAAACAGAAACTCCAACCCACCCAGCTCTACAGCAAATGAGCATGTCTGGCCGTGTTCCAATTCTACCAACACAACAATCGACCCCTTTTGGAGGCTTCTGAAAATGGCCTCTAAAACACGCGCCTCTGCAAATGGGCGCTTTCGCTGAGCTTTTGGGTCGGGGTTTAGCAGATTTGGAAACGCCCCCTTTTTGGTTGTTGCCATAGGGGACTGATTCCCACTCTCAAAATTGTATGGGTTGTGAGCTGCAGCAAAAAGGGCAAACGAAGCCACCTTTGAACCGTGCACCCATGTTGAGACATACGGGACCCCATTTGATCGGTATTATTTTGTGAAAAAACCACCAGGAAACTTGGAACCGTTGGCCAAGGATTTTTTCCCCCGCATCCAAAATTTGCGCCTGGCAGAGGCCCTTGTCGCCCAGGAAGCAGGCCTCCGGCCCCGGGCTCACCACGGTGCCTTTCGGAACTCCGCCGTCCGCGGCAGCGACCCACTGCACAGGCGCTGGGAAGTGCTTTTGCACCTGCTCCTCGACCCACAAAGAAGCGAAGCAAAATGAGAGTAGATTGATGCGCGACTCCCTTTGGGGAAGTAAAGGGTAAATCTGGCGGTTTCCTTGTGGTCCAACCAAAAGAGGAAATCTATCTTGAAAAAACACTCACAGCGGGGTGAAGGTAGATTCTAAGAGGCCCACATTCGACCCCAACATGGGTGGGTCTATTGGGAATGTCGCAATCTACTTTCACCCAACCCCCTTTTGCTTTCTATGATTCCACATATTCATGGGTATCAAGTACAACGGTGCCGTTGGAACACAACACTTTCCGGTTGTTGCCCCATTTTTGTGTGACGGGTGTCACGCGAGGAATCCGTCACCTTGCAGGGGGCCCGGAGTCCTCTAGATACTTGGGCGTGTGTCAATTTGTTTCAGGGCACCCAGTGTAGTATTGGACAGTTTCAAAGGACACCAAAAGGAACAAAAAAAACATGACACATACCAGTGTGCCTCAACATAGGGCAACCCCTCCCTTTGCTCACAAAAACCGATCAAACGGGGACACCTAAGAAAGACACACCCGTGCCATGCCCATGTTTCCTCAGGTCTAAGCATACGTAGCTCCTCAAGCTCGGAGACCAGGCCTTGGATCTCCACTTCCTTTGCCTCTGCCACACTTGCCAGAGTGATCTTCATTGCGCTGCTTTTGCCGCGGGCAAAGCAACTCGCTGGCACTGTTGCCAAGGGAAGCTTGAGAGGCGGGTGAACGAAAGCTAGCCAGCCCCACCACGATATGTACCACGCAAACTCTGATTAAATCGGGCATTGTGGGAAGCTCAGCCCAAGAAGCCAAAGCTTAGAGAACTCCCGCTAGCACAGCCAGCTTTCGTGACTTGGTTTGCGGACAGTTGCTGGCTTTCCGACCCACGCCATCCCACGCCCTTTTAGTTACACGAGGAAGCAAGGTTGGTGTTGTAACTTGGCCACCTCCAGGCCCTTCTGAGTTGTGATCAAAAGAATGTTTTGTGAAAGATTATTTTGCTTGTTGGTGCGCAAATATGTGGGCGTGTTCCTCTAGCATGCAGCAATGTCACATGTGATGACAACTGGTGCGCTTAACAGGAAAGGTGCAGTCTCCATGTTCTCTGTGTGACTGGTTGACATTTTGCTGGCCTCAATTGCCGGACATCTGGCAATGACTCCCACCACCCAGTGCAAGTCTGCTCCCCTAGAACAACATAGAACCCAAGAGGGGCGTCCTTCTTTGACGAAATGCCTCTAAAAATGAGATCGCGTTGTTGGGGGCTCCACTCTAATCTGGAGAGCAAAAGAGCGGCCGGCTTTTTGATCTGCTGGCGACTGGCTGCGATTGTGGCTTTACACAGCTCGCTTCAGGAACCCCTCGGAACCAAGCAGGGAACGCTGTACAAGAGCGGGCTCAAGCATCTGCACGGTCAAGGAATGCAGCACACAGCCTACGAAGCGTGACAAAGGAGTGTAACCAACAAGGGCTTAAGCGCATGTGCAAGCATCAGATCCTAAACAGCAAAATGATGTCTCCCCGAACAGCTGCCGCTCACATCTGCTTGAAGCATCCAAGTCAACCAAAACATCCAAGTCATCTCAATATCTTCCCAGTACCCTAGGCCTGTATTGACAGCTGCTCCTCCAAAATCTGCGTAGAGCCTCAAACTCATCGGACCCCCTGATTCCACAGCTCCTCGCGAAGGGAAGCGCTCTATGATCCTGGCTTACACTTTCCGGTCGACAACTTAGCATCCAAATTATTTTACAGTCACGTGGGTATGAAACTTCGTTGGTGAGCCCTTGGTGGGCATCATGTAGGGTCGGATGGGATTTCCACCGGAAAGAAAGGTTCAGAGTCGAACCTGAAACATTTTCTGACTGAGGGGTGCTAAAATCCTCTCTGGGAGGTACACTCCTGCAAACAAACGGAAAAAAACATCGTTGGAAGGCGGACTTCTAGCTTCCACTCTCCGTCCTCGCAAAAGACATCCGCCTCTTCAGGCGAAGCAAATTCGAAGATGTACTCCTGGCCAGTCCCGACGGGGCTAGTCACTTCGAATGACTCTGACTATGGCTCGGATTTGCACGAAGCTCTGGACGCCGCCTCTGGAGGCCCTTGATCGAGGGCTCGGTACTCTTGAAAAGGCTGATTCAAAGGGAAACCACGAGGAAGACACAAACACCAAGTGGGGAACCATCACCCTCAAAACCGTTTCCCCCCCCCCCCACACCCCCGGCCGGCCATTGCAGCAGAGGTGTTTTGACTCCATGCAACTGGGAAAACGTTAATCCGGTCAAGGCTGGCAGTCTGCTTGAAAAACAAGCTTAAACCGAGTGAAGCAACCTTAAACCCACCCCAAACAAGCCAGCCACCACCCTAAACAAACCCTAAAGCAAACGAACACGCCCCAGGAACACGCCCCAGGTGAAAAGGTGTTCTGACCTCGTGAATTGGGAGTTTTTGAGAGAAAATGGGCTTGATTAGCTAAAACCCCCGCTGTCCTTTTGCTGCATCACCTCTTCCTTGCAGACCCTGACGGACATCTCGAGGACCTTGTCTGATCTTAGCATCACTCGGTCCTGCACAAGCCGACAGCCAGATTGGAGCCCTTGGGGGGTATGGACTATGCCAAGGAACCCCGAAAACACCTAAGAGATTTCATTGGTTTCTCTGTAAATACCTCACCAAGAGGGCTGTGAAATCCCGCTTTGGGAGTTACAGTAACAAATAATATGGAAATCGGGGCCAAAAGTGGTGCTAAATGTTTCCCTGTGCTTTCCTCCAAGAAGTGCACCCAAAAAACAACACACCCAAAAACAAAACACACCCAACGGGCTTAGTGAACGTCACATTTCGAGCTTGCAAACTTGCGAGGATCCAGGGAACACTTGAGCTCCTTGAAAAGAAGCCACGTTGCCTCGCAGATTTCCCCGTCTGACGGTCTTGCTCAAGCGTTGGGGATAAGGCGCCTTTCTTTTGGATGTGCCCTCGTTTCGTCACAAAAGGCCTACATTTTTGTTGCCTGGCCTTCAGAAAGGAGCTATGGTCGGACCCACCTGGGCAAACAACCACTTTCGAGCTCCCACTCCGCGGGTCCAGGCCGTCAGGAATCCGCACCGCCGACTTCACCTCAGGCAAGCGAAGCATCCCAGGGCCCAGGGCAAGGGGTTTGCCCTGGGGGGGGGAATCTGTATCTCTCGTTGTTCCGGAACCCCCCCCTCCCCCACTTAAAGAGGGTACCCCCATTGTACCCCCAAAGCACCCAAGAAAACTCCAGCCTATTTGCCCCCTATTGGCATTGGGGCGGGCCCTTGGCTAGCATGAGTGGCTGTGTAGTGTTTTCTTTTTTTGGCGAAGGTAAGATGGGATCCTTGCAACATGGGCCAGTGGTTGTGCAACCCAAGTCTTCCTGGTGCTGGTTTCCCTCAAATTCCCTCAAAGGGAATCTGAAAGGTTTGGTCTGAACCTTTCAAGGCTGGTGTCCAAGCCTTGCAAACGGACCAGTGAACCACAGTTTTCCGGATCCCCTCTGAACTGGGATCAAGGGTTTTGCCCATCGAGGAAACTGGGCAAAACCGTGGGCTGTGCAAGATGCGACACCGTCATGATTTTGAATCGTGCCCTCTTTCACCCAACTGAACTCCCCTGCAGATTAAACGGATGAACCCTCCAAGAGCAACATTTCTGGAGAACCGTCCTTTTCGGGAGGCCTCCTTTTGATCTCCTTTTGGGCTCCATCTCCTACCCCCCCCACCCGCGCCTTGGTGCTTGAGCCCTTGCCGAAGATCCACAGCTGCCCCGGGCTCAGCTCCAGCCCCCGCTGGTCCCTTCGGCCGCTCCCCACCCGCAGCCGCGATACCTCGAAGGAGAGGCCCGGCTCCGACACGCGCCTCGAGATGGACACCGCCGGTCGCGTAGCAACCGCCGGGCTTCCCTCTCATTGGTGGCTAGGATTGTCGTCTTTTGGCTTCCCTCCAAAACCAACAAGGAGTTCCCCAAAAGAGACACAAATTCAGTTGGCCCGCTGTGGTTTGAGGAACCAGGGCTTCAAATCCCCAAGCCATGTCATCCCGTGTCAAGCCACTGGGTTGCTCTTCCCCTAAGCCAAAGGTCGACCATCTCTTGTAGGTTTAATAGAAAAAGGTCTGGGCTAATCCTCACTTCCTGAGTGGGTTGGCCTAAAAAAAGTCTGAACTGCATATTTATCACTAAAATTGCCTTCCCGAAAAGCTCAAAGTCCAAAAACTCAGGAAGTGAGAGTTACTAAGGTCGGTCACAAAGACCGGCCACGCCTCGTTCGCTTCGGCCCAATTTTGGTCAAGGCGCGGCGTCGTAGGGCAACAGCTCCAGCTGTGCAGCGATCGCTCGCTGCGCTCGCTGCGGCTCGGCGTGATGGTGACCGCATCCTCCTACGACTCCCAAGAGGTAAGGTGCCATGAGGCTTTCTCAACATATAGTGCTCATCTATGGGAGGCTGCTTTCCGTTCGTTTCCTTTTAAATCCAACTCATCAGGGTCCAAAACACATGGCATTGCGGCCGTGAAGTGAAGAACAAATGTAGCCAGGAGTGTGGGAGCAAACCCGTTAATTAGCATTTAGATAGCTCCTTATATGCAGCTGGCTACGCATGCGCGTGTTGCCCCTAGCGTTGCCCTAGCCCCAGCCCTTTGCCACTTCGCCGTTTTGCTTTTGGACCCTACTTGGACTATGGGAAACTCGCTCTTCAACCCCACGCCCAGACTAGCGCCGGGTTTTCCCAGGATTTGTGTGGTTCTCCCGGATTTGCTTTTTTTTTCCAAGATTTCAGTGCGGACTTCCCGGGGAATTTTGTGGTCTGCGGGGATACGATGGCCAAGCTTCCTGCGGCTCCGTGACAGCCTTGACCACCTCCAGGGACCTCTGCTGGACCCCGTCCTGGCGGAACCCCCAAAAAATCCAAAAACAAGAGCTCCGCTTGTAGCGCGGCGGGGGCGAACGTCTTTTCGATGCTTAGTCCCCCCCCAGCTTACTTGGCGAGAAAATCACCGGAAATCATGTGAGTGGTGTCCTGTGCCTTCGACTTCTAAACAATGTCCGGCGGAAAGCTCCCCTTTGTCCAGGCCTGTTTTTGGGAGAAAAGCCCCATCCGAAAGACCCAAGTTCCGAAAAATAGATGGCCCTGGTAAATGAAATAAAGCCCATCTAAACAAGTGCCTTCGATTTTTAACCAAACAAAGCTAAAAAGGACACCTGTGGACTGAACAAGATCCCTGCCTGCGCCCGATCCGTCACAGCCTTCACCATGTAGGGCTCCGGTGCAATGGCCAACTGCCGACGTTCGCGAGGAGTTGCCTGATCAGCCACGGACTCTACAGAATGCAGATCCCACGCCGTATATGGGACAATCCAACTTCGGTCTAAAATAACAAAAACAAGCGGGGGGGAACCATGGTAGAACAGAATGGGTTGTCGTTTCTAGGTCCACAATACTTCCTACTTTTGGTGAAGTTCCGTGGCTCATCCCCGTCCCAAGCCCCGAAAGTGACCATAGACTTTCCACATCCAAACCTGAACCCCCCCCTCTTGAAACTTCACGGCCTCGGGTTCAGCCTCTCGCCTCGATCTGCTCCAGTCATACGTGTCCATGTTGAAAGTTCAATCAGGAAAGTTACGATCGGTTTGATTCAATCTCACTTGCACCTTGCTTTTGACCCCTGACTTACACCCTCAGATATACCCGAAATCATACTTGACTGGTTCTCAGTCGGGAATGAAATCATGACCCCCATGTGGCTTCTGTTTGCAGGGAACCCGAACTAGGATCAAGGTTCGATGTCGATTCTGTGCATAGAACTAGCAAGCAAAGTGCGCGCGCCTGCAAGGATTCCACGGACCCCACATCCAGCTGGCGCATGTCCACCTGGCGGAAGGTGACAAATGACTCGAACTTTTCACTCCATGCAAAAATCGGGTGGTCTTACTGGTTCTTGTGGGGAATTTTGACTTTCAAGGAATTTCCCGTTGCATCTCAGAAAGCGGAGACCTCAAATTGTGTTTCTACCTGAACGGTGCCCTAAACCTATTGACTTTTGGATCTACCTACATGGCTATGAAGGTTCATATGGGCCGTACTAGGACCGTTATACAGCCAGCAAAACCAGCTACTCCATATAGCCTTGTTAGGAATCGGTTTCGGGGGGCAACAAATGATCAGACTTATGTGGAATTAGTCTATATGGTATTGTTTCCTCTAGTGGGTGTAATCCCAGGCGTGATAGAACAACACTAATGAGACCTGAGCTTCGGCCAATCTTCATTGTGTCCCCAACCTTGTCTTTTGGTGAGTACCCCCCCCCCCCCCATTTCCTCGCAATTTGGTAAGTGTCAGTGTCAGCCTGTCCTTCCCTTTACAATGGACAACTCACATGGATGTTTCTCAAGGTGGTAGACTGCATTTATGTTGCTATTCAAGGGGAACTCCAAAGGACACAAACAATTTCTGAGGGCTTCATGTTGAAAAACACCTCCCAAACGGATTAAACTCCTAACTTCATGTCCTTCAAACCACACAACAGCGGCTCCCTGTTTTTGAGCTAGCGTGGTTGCTTCCCTTTGGTTCCCCTTTAAACCCCATCTCCAACACGGCCTCCGCCTCTGAGACTGCCCGTGCCCGCCTCCCCCACGTGGCGCCGGAACTCCGCGGAGCCGAGCACGCGGCCCAGGGAGGCGCAGGCGTCCCCCAGGCCCCGCTGCAGATGGGGCAGCCGCTCCGGCGCGCTCCGCGCCCGCAACCTCCAGCGAGAGACACGGAGGCGCTTTGGTCTTAGACCCCGAAATTTTGACCTGGGTTTCCAATAAATTAAATTTGGACCTTTTGGGTTTGCTTTTATGGAGCTTTTTGGTTTGCCGAGAAATGAGCTCAAGACCACTGCCCTCGGAGAAATGGAGAATCCTACTGAATGGTTCAAGGGTTTTAGGGGTGTCTCGAGGGTTCTAGGCTTCGACACGAAGTTGAAGGAGTTCAAGGGTTCCACAATGTGGGTGTTTCGCAGAAAAAAGCTGTACCATAAAACGGTTGGTTTCAGTTTGGTGTCAGTTTGGTTTCCCAGAAAAATACCAGCCTGAAAAATAAGGAATGCCCTTTTGGATGGTGGTTGGGTGTGTACATGGCTCGGTACCCATTTTTTGTTTTAAAAAACGACCCACCTTGGAGGTTCGTCTCAAAATTATCTGGATAGTCCAAACCAACAATTTTGAGGGAAACCAACATGTTGGAGGCTCGGTACCCAGTTTTGGGTTGGTTTGAAGGGAAATAAAAGGACAACGGAAACATAAGTTCGCTTTATTTTCTTGGGTGGGTTCATCACCTTTTGGGCAAGTGTAAAGTGAGCTTCCTTTGAGTGGCGAGTTGCTTAAATATAAAAAGGAAACAACCATATGTGGGAACAACCATATGTGGGTACGTCACAAAATGGGGAGCCCCATTTCTAATGATATTTGAAGGGACACCACAAGGACACCAACGAGTCTGAGTGCTATTTTGAGACAAACCCACGCGGCCATGGTTACCTGACGAACTGTTGCAATGGTTGCCAAACATCCTTGATATTGAATCTGGTATGAAAGTGGTAAACCCAAACCAATGTAAAGAATCAAAAGAGCGGGCGGGGGGGGGCCCCGTGCTGACTGATTTTAAGAGAAGGGCCCGTGTTTGTTGAATGGGGTTCTGCGGTGCTTGAAAGCCAAGTTACTAAGTTGTTGGCCATGATTCCTTGGTACTGGGCCAAGTCAAGTTGGCGGTAGTGGCAACCCAGGCTCTACACCCTTTGCCATGGTTGTCAATAAATCCCTATCAAGTCAAGCCATGGCATGGGCAACCAATGGCATGGGAAGCACCCAACAGCTCTTCTCGTCGATTTCTGCAAAAATGGATAAAACAAGTCCGCACGGGTCTTACTATCCCCATGAAGAGCCCCCTGAGATGGACTACATGGCCAGTACCCATCGCTTGCCGCGCGGCTCATCTGCGATTTGCAGCATCTGCCCTGCATGGCTGCTCTTGCCGCTCAAGAAGGCCCGCTGAATGGCCTTCCAGCGACAGCCGACAAGCGAAACAGCTTCTATTACGGGTCGCATTCCAAGGATGTCCCTCAAGCTTCCTGTTGCTTTTTCGCCGCCTGGAAAAACTGAACATATGTCCAGTAGTGATAGCTTCCGTTTAAAACGGAGAGGGGAAACTAAGACATATTCGTTTCAGCACATGGAAGAAAGGATGCTCCACAAGCACTAACCTATTCTCTACACACAACTCTTTGCCGTGCACGGCTAGGCTGCACTTGTCCCATTCTATGGCTCCCTCGTTTTTATGCGGGGGATGTCGGTGTCTCGAAACCTCCATTTGCTTAAGCCCCGTGGAAAATCATGTCCAATAGCGATAGGTTCTCGTTAAAAACAATGGATTCTTGAGCAAAAGAAAGAAAAGACAGGTGAGCAGCCCCAGAAAACCGGAAGACGTTTGGCTCTACCAAGTTAAAAAAAGCCGTGAAGGCACCCAGTCACAGGTTGCTCAGAGCTCCATTTCCAGACCTAAGCGGCCGGCAAATCGCGGGCTGCAGAATTGCAGCTGACTTGTCCCGCTGGTTCTCAGAAAATCGTTCTGAGCAAGTTGCGTGATTTACTCCCACTGTTGACGGGGAAACACAAAAACAACTCAGGGGCCGGACAAACTTGTCCACCTAAACATTCCCCCCCCCCCCGCCAAACACAACCTTCAGGAAACGTAATACTTCAAATGGCCAAGATGTAGTACGGTCCGTATTCAAGGAGTATCTGAGCAAAAGGCGTTCGACTTTGAGCATCGTAAACGCTCCGAGGTGAAATCTCGATGTGACGAGATCAAATCCTCCAACGACATCTCTTTCTTGCGTTCCCTTGCCAGCGGACAAAAGGAAAGCCCACAAGTCCACCAATCCACCCGCCTCTCGCGCCCGAAAGCACATCTTCTCAGAGGGCGCGGGCTTTTGCACCTGCGAGGTCAAAGGAAGTCAAAGGAAGCCATGGCCAACAGTCTCCAGGCTCGGGGGTAAGAGAAACCAAAGCAAGGCACCGACTTTTCCGGTTGCAACCCCTCTATTCTGCAGGTTTCCACATGCTTCTGCGAATTCTTTGCAGTTTTGCTTTAGCTACGACAACCTGTGCACACCCTGCCAAACTTGGGACAGGGCTGGGTGTCATAGACTAGGAGACCCTGATATGATGGCTTACACGTTGGTGTCCCTTCAAAGTGGGGGGTGCATCTCTTCTCTGGCAAGTTCTGTGGGCTCGAAAACGAATCCGCAAGAGGTGCCTAGGTCCTCCAGTAGAGAGGTTGGAATAAGGGTACCCTTTTTTCTGTAGTCTATTTTAGTAGGGGAACCCTCCCCAGAAAAGGGTCAAAGGGCACTACTGGGGGACCTAGGTGCGCTTCATTCTTCGCGTTTTTCCCCCGCCGTGTTTCGCTGGTCCAGCCGGGCCTTCTGTCCACGGGCCCGCGCCAGCACATAGGCGGCATCCAGGGCGCCGTTCAGCTGCTCCAGCCGCGTCCGCAGACTCGTGACCTTCTCCTCAAATTCGCATCGAACGGGCGGCGAGTCGCTGAGTCGCTGGGTCTGTCTTTTTGTTGAAGAGACAGAAAGCCATGTGACCTCTATGGGGAACCCTTTTTTTGGCCTCTATGGTTACCCTTTTCTTATTGTTAAAAAAGGGGAACCGCAACCAAAACCACCCTTTTTGACATACCCATATGAGCCGTTCTGAAAAAGGTGGACGATCCTCTGTTGGCTGCTTTCAAGGGAAACCAATGGAAACTAACCATTTGTGGGGGAAACACCTATGAATGTGTCTGTTTTAAGGCAAGCCCGTGCCCTTTTGCTTTCCCAAAAATCAACCCTGGAAACCCTCATTTTCCGCGCCACAGCTTCCACCAGTGCATCCAGCACAGGATGGAGCCAAGCAGACACCCGGATCATGCCATAGTCCCCCAGGCCATCGCTGATCCGGTGGAACTGGACCAGTACCTCCCGCGAAACGATGGAAATTCGGACCCCTGGCCATCACCAAACCAGACGCATTAGGCCTTGCGTGCTCCTTCATGCCGAATTTGTACCCCCGGGTTGGCAGTTGGTCTTAGGCCGAATGTTGACTTATGCCTTTTCAAGCTGGCTTTGGAGGAGTCTTTTGGGTGAGGTCCCTGAACAAACAGGCGGTGGAGATATATTTACTTGCAAGGTGTGGGGTAAATGTGAGTCGGAAAAAACACATATATATGGCACACTAGAATTTCCGCAAGACCGGGTGAAAAATCAAGACTTGCGGACTTCTCCGAACCCAATTAATGGCTGGGACTCCTCATCCTCATATACCGAGGTCTTGATTGTGGCTCAGTGAAAATACATCGGCTCCCATACACTTACGCTCGATCCTCTACATCGGCCGGTACAGGTGATGTTTGTTCACTGGCCCAAATGTATTTCAGACATTGCCGTGAATCCGCTCCACTTCCCTTGGAAAGCGGGTAGCCACTCCTTTACAGGGAAACCGAGAGGAAACCTAGATGGGTCTCGCACTTTGTGAAGTCTAGAACAGGGTTTCGACCCCTTTTGGGGACCAGTTTGGCATACCTCCAAATGGAAACCCGTACCCTTTCAGCTAGTCCATGTCTCCAAAGTAGTCTAAAGACTACCGCCTACCGTGCAAGACTACAACCCTCTTTCTTCCTTTTCCCTCGGCCCCAAAGGTCTGCTTCCATTGATGCCGGCGGACCCCGCGCCTCACCGAGTAGGTACATGATGTCAGAGGCGATGCTCACCGCTGAGAGCCAATTCTCCCGCTGCACGCTGTCCGCACGCAAGGCGCCCACCAGGCCGCTGCCCTGGAGCTCAGGTGAAACCAGCCAAGGGACTTCCCTGAAAAGCCACCAGGGAGCCTTGATTTTTTATCAATCCCGTTTTTAGCCGAACCTTGCCCACAGGGAAAGAAAGAGTTCCCTGAGCCATTCTTAGGCGGACCTTGCTAGGGAAAGAAAGATGTTACTGGTACTGAACTGGGCCTGCGAAGCTAGTGCTTGCTTGACCCTTTTTGGCAAATTGGCGTACGGTCCTGACAATTTTAGGGCCAAACAGTTTTCAGTCGGACCCAAAACCTTTCACCGGTTGCTTGTACCAAGATGATGATTTAGTCATAAAGGCTTTTATAGGCCTCACTACCATGGACCCCTATGGTGGCTATTGGGCTATCCCGTATTAACCCCATAATAAGGCCTTATATCTTAAGGGTTTTTGTTTGGCTTCTTCTGGGCTTACCCAGTAGCCCCCCACCCCATAGCCTTCGCTGGGTTCCCTGAGGCTAGAATCCAGCAGGAGCTCCAATGAGGTCCATGCGCCCAACTGAATTCCTTCTGCCATTTTTTTGTTTTGGGTATCAAACCGATCCGGAATCTGTTCAGCTTGCTTGCTTTTTGGTGGGAATTGCTTGGGGTTTTGGACATGGACCACTGGATCCCTTATTCAGAAAGCCACGACCTCCCTTTGCTTATTTTCGTCCCTGGAACAAATGTGAATATGTCCAACAATGATAAATTCCCTTTGGAACCAACAGGGGAAAAAACAGTATGCTCAAGCAAATGGAATACAAGGGACCCTCATTGAGGACCACCAAGTTAACGAAAGCATCGCTTTGTGCTCTGAATGGCAACACGGGGAAAAAACATGGGGCATGAATCCCATGTATTTCTGATGCCCAACAAATCCAACAATTCCAATGCATACCCATTTGTTTCAGCGCCCTAAGAGGCTCGGTTGGCCATGGGCTTCAAGCTCACACCCGGATCCACCGGTTGCTGCCTGTCCGAAGTCAGAAGGCGAGTGCCCAGTGGCCATGAAAAAAGGCACCCTTCCTGGTTGGTTGAGTTACAGTGCAGAGTCGCGCCCTTCCCCCCCTCAACCAGAAAAAATGGGTTGCTCTTCCCCCTTGAGCAAAGGGCTAACCGTTCAAAGGCTTTGAGGAAAAGCCATAGTTGTTTCCGAAAGATTCCAGGGGCCATCCGGTCGCACCAACGGCCAGCCATGAAAAAAAGTGCCTGTTGGGTTGGTTTGAAGGGAAACCGAAAAGAAACCAAAAACTATGGGGCTTCGCCCTATTCTGAGACAATCCCAACTTAAAAAAGAGAGCAACTTGTGGAATCCACCAGCCAACATTCAGCCCCGCCTTGAGGCTGCCGCGGAATTGCTTCCTGACCTGGACTGCTTGGAAGTGGACATGTGTCTCATTTTTCGTTGGAATCCCACCTTTTGGTTAAGCTAGGGCAAGCCCAAAGAAAAAACACCGAATTGTCCGGGCTCCCGAATTTTAAAACCGATTCCTCCCAGACCATCTAAGGAGTTTTGATTATCCCTCCGACGGGCGTTGGGTGTTTATATAAACCAAACAACCAACGATGAGACGGACGCTTCCGGCGGCGTGGAAAATGGGTCAAATGGTTCGAGCGATGGCCCGCGGGTGGACTGAATCACATCCCAGGTAATCTGGACGCGGCAAACTTGTCCCACCTTAAGAAAGTGGGGGGTGGAAGACCCACCAGAAACATTCCAGTTTGGGGCCAATTCCATTGGGGTGGGGATTTCGATTTTCCGAAAGAGTCGAAGGGTTTGCTTCTGAAATGACCCCCCCCCTGCTCCCCCAGAGAGGTTGTTAAGCTCGGGCCCCAGTGTACCCCTGTCAGAAACCAACAAAAAGAGAGCGATGCTAATTTTACAAACACCAATCGGTTCGGTCGAGCTTGGGGCGTGTTTTTTACGGTGCCCCTTCCTGGAGGGCTTTCAAGGAAGCCAAAAGGAAACCCACCCTTCCAAGCGTTGTGCGGATGGTTAAAGCAGCAAAAGCTAAGGAACAGCTTTCAGTGTTCGACACAGGCTCAACAGGGGCCGCCATATTTAGCAGCGCAACCTTGCACCGTTTGAGGGAAACAACTTCTAATGGTCAGGTTCCTGAGCTAGAAGCTGCACGAGCGTCAAAACAAAATCTATTCTCTTGGTTCACCTCAGTTGCAATACCATAAAAAAAACACCATCCTGCGTGGTGGTTTACAAATCCATCCATCCATCCTTGGTGCGAAGCAAATTCTGTCCATCCGGGCCCATGAGAAAAATGGACGCCCCTTCCAAGGCTTGGCTCGTGTTTATGGCAACGAGAGATGAGTGGTATGATGTGATACGGGACCAGCTTGATTTCGTTGCTTCTAAGTACAGTACCTGCAAATGGGCAAGGCACATCACAAACAAACTCATTCTTTGCAAAAACAAGAACACACGTTGGGGCCCATGAAAAATCTGGAGGGCATGAAGAACCGGCAAAGGATAGAACTTGCTCGACTGACTGCAACAAGGCCTCGCCTCCTTGAGAATGCTCTCAAGCGAGGCTGACGAATGGTCCTGAATCGGACTTTCACAAACATGAGTGCGTCTTTTGTTGAGCGGGCCTCTTTGTGGGCTGTTTGTTGAAAGAAAACCAGAGGAACACCGGCACAAGCCACGTGTCCGGAGTTCATGTGGTCTATCACAACTCTGCCTTTCGTCCCGCGCTTCTGCCTTTTCCTTGCTATGCTGGCACAATTGCACTAGCACACTTGCATAAAGCAACAAAGTCCTGGCAACAAGCCGAGTAGGAAAGCCAATGGTCTTGCGCTCCGGCAAGTCCATTCTTTCTGAGGCGTTTTCGGACAGGAAAATGCCAGCGAACACATCACAAGACTCGCAGCCTCCCAGTTGAGCTCCCTACCAGGCCCTTGGACCAAACCCAGGTCACTGAAGCCAGCAAAAACAGATAGGTTTCATGCCGAGCTCCGAATGGTTCAAGCCAAGTATAAAATATGTGTTGAGACTTTGACTTCAATCGAAGTGTTTATCGATCACGGCGATTGTTTTTTGACGCTTTGATTGAACTTGATTCAGGCTAGAAAGTTGTTCTAAGACTTTTATCGAAGTGTTTGATGATTTACGGGCTTTGACTGGCCTTGGCCCCCACTAGAAATTTCCATGGGAACAACAAAAACACAAAAGAAATCCTTTTGTGGTCGTTGATAAACGGGGCTGTTTCTCCTCCAAACAAAAAGTCGAAACCAGAAACCGGAGCTCCTTTTCTGGTCGTCGAACTCCAAAGGTTTGGTCGTCAATAAACGGGGTTTCCCCCCTCCAGACAACAAGCATGGGATGCTTCGACTGGGTCCGGTCCTCTCCGTTCTCCAGGGCCTCGAGGCGTGTGGTGCTCTCAGCTTCTGCCCCAGCAAAGAGGCGGACACACCTGAGACGCAATGGGTGGAACCTCATCGGTCCAAAAAGGGCCCGACGTGGTGCGCATCAAAACTCGGTGGGGATTCAGACGACCACCAACAACTTCTCAGGTGGCTCCAACTCGTAAACAACTCACAGCCATATGGGTGCGGGTGCTTTGTGGGTTGGTTTTAAATCGAGAAACTGAAAGGACAACCACATTTTTGGGGGGCACCCCATTTTAATTACACCCATATCTCAAGTGAGTGATTTGTAATTATGTATTGGTAAGCCCTTTGGTCTGGCAAATATATTTTTGTTGGGGGGGTTGCCTTGAAATGAAAGGGAAAGCGAGGCCAGGAACTGCCCCGGATTTGCTTCAGCCACGTTTGTTGGAGGGTAACTGCTTTTATTGACCAGACAACTGCTTTTCTTGATCCGCCAAACACCCCTCTAAAAAGTGGCACTTCTTGCTGAAAGGAACGATGAAGGAAACCCAACAAGGCCAAAAAGTCAATAAGGTCAGCCTTTGGTCTTGCAGTTTTGGGTGCGTGTTTTTGAGGGTACTTCTCTTTGCTGGTTCAGAGGCAAACCAAACGAAACCAAGATGGTCTGCTTGTTTGTGGCCGTTGGCCTCCCTATTTTGGCACACCTGGATCGCCAGCTGCTGTTTTCTCGCCGGCAACTGTGACTTGTTGTAGGCTTTTTGTGTCTGTAAAAGAACAGCAATTTGGCTATCTGAGGGTACGAGTACATGTTTTCTGCTTGAGGGGCAAACCCAAAAAAAGACGCCACGTCTTGTCTGTTTTTGTGGAGGGGGGGGAAGCTCCCCATTTCGGCACAGACCCATGTCAAATTTCAACCAAGGAAACCAAAAAGAAAAAACAACAGGACTCCTCCGCCCCATCCGCCGTCCGTGCGAGTTGTCCGAGTCGCCACGGCGCCCGCAGTAGGGCAGCGATCAATGAGCCAGAGCCCATGTCCCAGGCCTCCGAATTCATTACGACTCAGTTTCTGAGGGTTGTTGTACTACGCCCTGGGAATACACCCGCTGGGTATTGACCCCATTTACGCACATTTCGGGATTACACCGTGCTATTTTGAACCATTCTGGGTCATTTCCCAAGGGCTGTAATACAAAAACGCTCAGACAGTTGCCCTTCGGGACCTGGAAAGAAAAGGTCAAGCCTTTGTTGGTGGTTTGGATTGGGTTGGATTTGGAGGTGAACCTCTGGTTCTTGCAAATGGGAAACTACCCCTAAAATCACCAATCCAACTTATTCTTGGTTACTGTAACGACCCCTCTGCAAAAAGTGTTGCACTTTCTGTGGAAATCCGTACTGTTTCAACCAAAGAATACAAAAACCAATGATCCAACCATCTAAGTAACGGTTTGGATGCGGTCTTTGTGGATCCACCCCTGTAAGATATCAAAGAGTACTAAAATAATATCAAAAGAGGAACAACTGGTACAACAATATGGGGAAACTATAGAAAGCGGGTCCAATCTGTTTGCTTGAAACCAAATAGCGGGAAAAAGGCCTGGAAATCAAAGGTCGACCTTTTGGGGCCACTGAAAAATGTTGACCAAACTTGGAAAGCCAATGGTCATGGCAGGTCGATTCGCTTGGGGCAAGTGAGAATTAACATAAAGGCGGTCCCTGAACAAGGGCTTCCTCTACACATCCACGTGCATCTTTGTGGGTTCCTTAGGTTACTTTGCAGAGTAAACGCATGTGGGGTTCTCAAAACGGTGGACTCCGACCCTTTTCTTTTGGGGTATTTTCGTTAACCAGAATCGTTTAAAAGTCGGTTTCCAAATGAAGAAGCGCCCGCGAAACCCAAGGGAAGCCTCGTTTGGCTTTTTCTGGTTTGCCAAACGAGGCCCTCCTGTCTCCTTACGGCTCCAAATGGGTAAATGGGTGGTTTCCCTTTGGTTTCCCTTCAAACAGAGGCTGTAGTCTTGGCCATGAAGTTGGACATGATCAATTGCTGGACATGAGGAAGTCAGCGCGCTTTACCCCCGATCTCGTTCTGGGTTGTCCAGATCATCGTGCCTCTCCAAGCTTTATTTTACTCGCCTATGTATTTACTTATCCATTTAACATCATTATGCTCGTTCCGCACGGAAATGACACACCAATTGTCAACTTGGGGGAAAACAACTCATTCCCATCTAACTTGCCATTTGCAAATCAAACATATCAAGAACCTCATGTCCTTGTGCAGTTGCGTTTACATTCCAATTCAATTCATTTGCATAATTCCACTGCATTGTATATCATAGTAGTTAAATCAATCTTGAACAGCAACTCCTATCTAAGCTAAGAGTTGCTGACCAAATCGTTTTTATCATTCTCAATAGCACCTGTTGGCAGCATTTGCTCAAATACCGTTTTACTGGACTGAAGGTTCAAGATTCCACATGACACTTTTTGAAAATTGAAGATCCAAGATTTCCGGGAGTCTTCAATCTTCGATCATGGAAACACGGCATTAAAGTTCTTAGAAACAAAAACAAAGTGTGTGCAGGTGGTAAGGATCAAATATTACTTTGTCAAAAAGATATGGGGAATCTTCAATCTTCGATCCAGCGGGGAACTATCAACGAACAACTTTAAATGCTCATTCGAGCCTGTTCTAAGGGGAAACACCCGAAGTGTATTCACGGAATTTGTTTGAAGAGGTCCAGGTCCATGAGAACGCTAACATTACATACACGTGCATGTGTGTATATATATATATATGTATAATATGTATATATGAGAACAGAATCAATCAATCACTATGTGTATATATATATATATAATATTTCTATATATATATATATACATTTACACACACACAGCCATTTTCGGAAACCCCGCCCCCACCCCCCCCCCCCACCCCCGACCCCACACAAATGATCGATGGCTTTGGAGGTCCGAGAGAGAGCCTCCTGCATGAGCTTCTGCAGTGCGGGATCCTTGCGGTGTGGCCTCAGTCGCACACATCGCTCATTTCGTACCATCTATATATCTTGACTGATTGGAGCAAACCAAAGATTAGCAATCCAAAACAAAGGGAGTGGTTGGCCGTGGCACAGTTTCTCAAACATCGGATTTGGCTGGCTTTCAGGTTCCCTGCAACCAAGAACTGCCCTAACAGTCCAATCGATTGTTTAGCTGCTTCTCCATTGGGAGAATGAGGGCTTGCCCGCTGGAAATCTAGACCCATGTCCAATGGACAAGAACCGAACCGCATGGTTCGAAGGCGAAGGGGTTAAACCTGGAAACCCCCCCCAACAAAAAAGGTAGGAGAACGGGTCCGATTCTGAACATGCAACTGGGAAGAGAGCGAGCCCGATTCTGGAATTTGCGAGCTGATCCTTGGCGACAGCAACAACTTCTGCCCGGAAATCTGCCGAGGAATTCCTACGCGTTCTGGCTGTCAAGGCACTTTAGCCGTTTTGGGCGTGTTTGGTAATTTGTGTGCGATATTTTTGCGGGCGGTTGCCCCGTTTTTTGCGGGCATGTTGCGGCACCTTTTCAAGGCGTCTGCGGTAGTTTACGGGCGTTTGCGTCCAAAACAGGGTCCATGCCGAGAATTACTAGGACTTCGTTGAGGTTGGAATCTCCAGGTATCTCAATTTGTACCAGTCTTGTGCATGAACAGGCTCGACATGGCGTCCGAAACATGATGGCTAAGCAGTTGGCACCCTCTGTGTTGCTCTTCTCGGATGCCCATGCTGCATACCTGGACCTTCTGGAGGTCCAAAATTTTTAGGCGTTGGCCAAAAAACACGTGTCTTTTGCCTTTGGTGTGGAAAAATGCGTTTAGGGCGAAAAAACGCCGGCGGTCATATTTGTTTGCGCCGCGGTAGGGAATGTTCGCCTGTTGGTCGGGAATTGTCGCCTGTTGGTCGGGAATTTTCGCCTGTAGATTCGGGGAGATTGAGGGTAACACCCAAATTGAGCAAAAAAAGGCCGTAGGCAAAAAACACGCGCAATTGCCCCAAAAAGCAATTCGTAGCGAAAAGGCAGAAATTTTGAGCATGCAGGAAGGTCCAGGTATTTGAAACAGCACCATAAAACAGCACCGCAAGGACATGGTACTCATGCTGGTCAAACTCAGCTGTGGTCATACGTCCTTTCAGGCTGTAACCCCCCTGTGAGTCTGTACCAAAACTGGAGCACTAGGGCCGCGGCATCGGATGCCCTTCGTTGGGCAAGGATTGCCACAACTTCACGATCTCCAGAGACGGAAGGCCCTGAAGGCTCGAAACAAACTTCCCCGCGGATCCGGAAAAAAAAGAAGAAAAAAAACTTCGGCCTCCCAAACTAACTAAGATGGTGACAATGGCTTACAAAGGTTGGTGAAACTAGGTAGTTGAACCAGGATCGTGAAACCAGTCAGTAGAAGAGATGGTAGTGAAGCCTACTGTAATAGGACACATAGTGTCACTACCAATTGTAGAACCTGCTAGAATCCCTGTTAAACCAGGTAGAACCACCTCCTGAATTGCCCGCACAATCCACCGAGGCAGGGTTATTCGTCCATGGGTATGAGCTTTAATAGGGACCCTTTGGTGGACATCAGAATTCGGTGGGGATTCCTGTCCACCAACTACTTTTGAAATGGCTCCCAATGAAAGCTCATAAGTGGAAGCACCCAGCCGGGGACTTGGTGACCAATTGATCTGAGCCCCTACAGTTCTGGCTGCAAAGTGCACCTGTCCTCAGACAGATTCAATCTCTTGCCGAAACTGTGGACATCTGACTCAGGAAGTGAAAAAATGAGTGGGTCCCCTTGTAGGACGTGGTCATGGTTTCTCAATCGATATTCAAGTGCGTTTACGTTCCCTAGTTCAAAATGCAGGGACCCCAACGCGAATCCGTACGCGACCGTTGGGCCCCTTACAGGGGAAACCACCAACTGCCATGAGGATGTTGAGGATTGATCCGAACGGGCCGTCGCACAAATGGGTGTTTCTCAAAAGTAGGAACCCGCCATCCTTTTGGCTGCCTTTCAAAAGAAGCTGAAAGGAAACCAACAATCGGTTCCCTCTTGGAACCAAGAAGAACTGAGAATTAACACCTGGTTTACAAGGTGGTCTACCCAGAACCACGCAAAGAAGCAAAAAGCGGCTGCACGCCCATGGTTGGGACCAACTCCCTTACTAACTAACCTTCATCTACCCGGGCTCAACTGGTTCTCGTCTCGCTCGGCCCCCGGCATCTGTTTCCTTGAGGTCCGTGGGGGCCAACCTGAGATTTGCGAATCTCGCGAAGCGCAACCCTTTTTTGGTCATATCGGTTGTTCGTGTCTTCGCGGCTCCCATGGTTTGTGGTTTTAAAGGAACGCAACAGCACGCCCCCCGCCAAAAAAAAAGGCACACCATGGGGGAGTTTCTCAAAATGGTGGACTCTCCCTGTTGGTTGGAGTTTAAAGGGAACCAACAGGAAAACAACCATTCTAGGCAAATGTAAATTCTGGGAAGCGTCCATATTTCAGCTTCCCTCCAACGGGGTAGTTCCCATTTACGACCTACAAGAACCAGGGCTGCTTCAAATCCCAAACCCCCAAGCTAAACCGCCAAGGGTTACCCGAATATTGCTGCTTTTATATGCTTTTATTCTTCCAAGTTGGATAGAAAGGTTTGTACCAGCTGCCTTGTGATCTCCATTTTCGTAAGCCCCCGGGAAAAACAAAAACATCAACAATGATGTATTCATTTCAGCAAATGGAAGATAGCTACCATAACGCCCGGGAGGACCCGAACCTACCTTTTCTGGCCCTTTGTAAAAATGTATCGGTGTTTGAATCTGCCACCTGGAATTAAACTCGTGACCTTTCGGAACCAAAAGACTAAACATCGACACTGAAAAACAAATGCCAAATGGTCGACCCAAAGGGCGACTGAGGTGAGTCTGCTTGTGCGCTTCTCACTTTGTACCTGTCTGTTTGTCAAGCTGTGTTTCTGTGCCTGTGTGTGTTGTTTGTGATTGTGGCCGTGTTTGTCAAACTCAAATGCCCAAAGGGACCCAGAAACAAAAGGTTAACTAACCTGTTGGAACCATGACCCAAAAACGGACCAACAAAGGGAAAGCAAAGGTCAAAAGGTCGGCTTTGCGCAAGCGAGTCGGTTTGTATATGTGTGTGTGTGTGCGTGTTCGTGTCATTCGCGCGATTCAACTGCATCCGGATTCTCAGCTGAAGGCAGCAGGTAGGCGATGGTGTCCGTCACCAAGTTGCGGCTGATGGAAAGGAGGCGCTGAGCCTTGACAAATGAAAACGGCTGAGAGGGAAGATACATTTCCTGGTGATTGACACGTCTCTTGGGCCATGTTTAAAAACTCCTTGTGGTGTGGTTTGAGGGGGGCTTTTAAGAAACCCTGTGCTTTTTATAATTCAAAACCTTGGTCAACTCCATCTTCCCTCGTGGCTTCTGGACCAAGCCACAGAACAGGTTGGGGTAGCTGCGCTAAGACACTGAGAAGGGGTCCGTTTGCCCCTTTTTGGTTGACCGGTTGATACCTCCAAGAGGATACCGAAAACTCGTCTAGGCAGGCCATACAGGGCTACAACATTTACCTCAAAAGAGGTTAGTGGCATGATTCCCTCCAAAATGATGGCCATTAAGGGGTTCTTATTAAGCTTCACACTCACATATTGCCACCCAGGTAATCTAAAATTCTACCGGACCATCCTAATCACTGCATGCCTCAAGAGGAGATTGCACACATTTTGCACACGGCAGAGGGAAAGTTGGTTTACCATTGCCCTACCCGCAAAGCAAAGTCTATCAGCACCCATGCTGTGTTGGCCTTTGTCAAGCGCTGTGAAGCAATCACACAACTCTTGCTAGGACCTCCAAGCATCCCATTGAAAGAGTTTCTCCAAATGGACGACCTTTTTTTGGCTCGGTATTCAAAGGGAAACCCAAAGAAAGCCAACAAGAATCACAGGGCCCTCATGATCATACAGCAAATCATTCATATGGGCTTAAGAATTGTCAGCTGCCAACGATCTTAAGGGATCCCTATATTGAGCAACATCCTTGTACCTGGTGTATTTGGAAGAAGCTGGCCGGTACTATCGTTGGCTCTCACCATCGCACTCTCAGCTCCTGACAAGGTCAGCACAACTCCTGTCTTTTTCCAGCACCTCTGCAGCAGACTGGGTCACTCTTGGGTCGGTGGCTTGAACTCTGAAACATTCTGATACTCATTTTGCGGATGTTACTGTGGACTCAACCAATTAGGCTGCACGGCTTCTTCTTTACTCATCCCATGGCTTCCATGATAAGCTTAACACTGAGTCCATTAAAGTGACATCTTCGAAGTTGTCCTCCTGGTGGCCAAAAGGACCCCCCCCCAAACAAAAACACGCAATTGTTTTTGAGAAACTCTCAAATTGATCGCTCTCAGGGACCCAGCGAAATCAACTGAGAGCATCGATTCCTGCCTCCTGCAGTTGCCACTGCAAGTGATCGTACACCTGTCGCGACTTTCGCACTGGTGAGTGTCTGGGATGCAACCTGTACCCAGGCTCTCGACATTTCCGCTACTTTAAACATCCACTTGGCCAACTTAAAGTGAGTTGCGTTGCGCCATGTCTCGGAAGCCTCTCACACTCAGCTTCGGCCAAGATGCATCAGCCATGCTCTTCATGAAGCTTTGAGGATTTCGCGCCTCATTCCCCATCCGGGACCCTCACGCATCCCTTTTTTTAGGGGGCAAGGTCAAGCATTATCTCCCCTTTCCACAGTACTGACCAAAAGGAAGCTCGCTCAAAATGGGGCTTCGCCCATCCAAGGTGTCACAAGTGCCAGGCAGGAAAGAGTTGCGGATGGCTCAGGATGTCCCGGCAAAGGCCGCACATATTGCGAACCTCGGCGACAGCATGCCACTCCTTTAAGAGCCAAAGACACAATCTCAGCAAATCGGGGTGGCTCAAAAAATGGTACCCAACATGTCATTTTGGTTTTGGAAACACTGACCAACACCTGCGTAATTAACCTCAGCTGTTTAATTTGAAGCCACACCCAAATGGCAAGGAGTTGGTGTCAAGAGTCCAAAGACACTTGCTTCTGACTTCTGTAACCTCGGCATGCTTCCCGGTATTGCTTTGTATCTTGCATGCTTCTCACTGAGGGAATATGGAACAGTTCTTTCACTTCAAACCTTGACAGTTTCGAGTGGCCTTTCCTAGGGAAGGAACAACGCAAAAGCAAAGTGCATCCCTAAGATTTCGGTTTTCAGTATTTTGCCGTTCCAAATTTGCTCTCACACAGTAACGCAGCAACGATGCATTAAAAACAACATGTTTGATGACATTCATTCAGGGGTCGCTGTCAGGAGAAGTTCACCAGACACACGCACACACACACACACACCAGGTTGCTTTTTAGGAATCTGGCAAAGAACCAACCGGGTTGCTTGCTTCCGTTTTCTGGGAACCAAGAAATTGGCCTCGAAACGTATCTCACCAGCAATCCGAGGGCCACAACTACAGCGGGAACCACTACCATCTGGCATAGGGGTGGTGCTAGAGGGAACCAAAAGGTCAACTTAAGGAAAACTACCATTATGGGCGGGGGCTCTCCTATTTTAACACATAAGCAGGAGTTGGATCAATCCTGAACCATCCAGCCTTGGCGCCAGCGGACGTCTTTTTTTACCCTGCCTCCTCTTCCGCCAAAGCGCTGCAGCCCGCATTGGCTCGCAACCAACTCTTCAGCAGCTCGCACATTCGGGTCCTGCAAGGATAAATTGCCATGGCCATATTTGGGTTTGTCTATTTGCAGGTGTCCTTTTGTTTGGCGGGTTTTTCTGGCCCCATTATTTGCCTGAGAACTATGCCGAAACCAGAGCCAAACATGCAACATGCTCTTAAGAAGGGTGCCCTTTATTTTTACATATTTGGCGCTCATGTTCCATCCAACCCCAATTTCATTTGGGTGTGTTTCTGGATGGTACTATTGTTTCCGCGGTGCTTTTCTGAAGAAGTTGAAAGGGACACCGTCAGAAAGGGTGGGGTTTCCCTCGGAAACAAAACCATTTGAGCCACAGTCGAAACTATCAAGCCCAGTTCCCATAAAGTGAAACATGCCATCCAAAGAAAGGCACGTGCCCTTTCCATTTTTGCCCAACCAACCAGCCAATCAACCTATCCATCCATCCATCCATCCATCCATCCATGCATCCATCCATGCATCCATACATCCATCCATCCACCATACAACTAACAAATTAAAACTTCAGCAATCATTCAAACAAAGACAATCAATCAATCAATCAATCAATCAATCAATCAATCAATCAATCAATCAAGCAATCAATCAAGCAATCAAGCAATCAATCAATCAATCAATCAATCAATCAACCAATCCAATCCAATCCAATCCAATCCAATCCAATCCAATCCAATCCAATCCAATCCAATCCAATCCAATCCAATCCATCAATCAACCAATCAATCATTCAATCAATCAAATCAATCAATCAATCAATCAATCCATCAATCCATCAATCAATCAAATCAAATCAAATCAAATTAAATCAAATCAATCAATAGTCAATCAATGAATCAATCAGTCAATCAATTCCATCAGTCAGTCAGTCAATCAACCAGCCAAGCAATCAATCAGTCAGTCAGTCAGTCAGTCAATCAAACAATCAATCAATCAATCAATCAATCAATCAATCAATCAATCAATCAGTCTGTCAATCAATCAACCAACCAATTAGTCAATCAATGAACCAATCAGTCAATAAATCAATAAATCAATCAATCAATCAATCAATCAATCAATCAATCAATCAATCAATCAATCAATCAAAGCCAAACCTCAACCCTCAACCCTGTCGTGGGGGAAAACACAGAAGACACGCCCAATGCGCCCAGTTCGCTCGCTCGATGCCTGGGGTCGTTCTTGTAGGACCGCCGCCAGCTGGGCCCGAGGTCGCCCTCAGCGCCCAGATTGGCTCAATGCCGATCTTTTTGGGATGGCCCATGCCCCCCCAACCACAAACAAACAAATGGATAGGAGTTGACCCATCCCTCCTACCCCCCACCTACCAAAACAAAACAAAACGAACAAGGATAAGATGTCAATTTGGCTTGGCTTGGTGATGTCTCTCGTTTTGGGCAGGTGTTTCAGGGACCAGGGGCTCCCTGCAAAGACCACCCCCCCCCCCCGCCTTTGCGGCACATGGGCGGCTCATCTTCTTTTGGAAATGGATTCAGAAACTTTATTTCAGTGTTCATGTTAATTTCCATAAAACCGGCCAAGGACGTAGTGACCGTTTGCGGTAGCTTTACTGGAGGACTTGATGTAAAACACTCTCCTACCCACGGTCAAGAAAATCATCGGAGGTGCTAGGTAGGCAAAGAAATAATTCGCCTCGGACCCCAGGGCCGCTTCCCGCAGACCCCTTCTACAACAAGTCCAACAACTCCGGCCAAATCCTTCCAGAAACCGGCCAAAATTCCCACCCACAAGCCAGTCAAGTTCACCTTCGCTTGGCCCAAGCTCACTGCCATTCTGTACCTCTCTGCAGCTCTCGTTCTGCACTTGAAGCCACGCAGACATGCCCGCCCTCTACCTTGAAAGCCAGCTCACGCAAACACAAGACTTCAAGGCAAACTAAAGCACGGTGTATACTTCAAAGCCAGCCAAAAGCGGACAGGCCGAGGCGGGCAACGCGAAGCATTTGCAATTTGTTTCGGCGGCTGGGAAAATTATCCGCTGGTTGGCTACTGGGGTTGCTCCAAAGCCTCCCCCTCAACACTCGCCCAGCGCTTCGACACGCACGATCTCTGCAAAGGGGTACGTTTCGCAAGCTGGGTCGCGGGATGTTGAGAGGTCTGGATCGGATTTTGAGGGGTATGGATCGGGTTTGTTGAGGGGTGTGGATCGGGGGGTATGGATCGGGGGGTATGGATCAACACCGGAGCAAAACCTACTCACACAAAAAAAAATGAGGGTTTGAGCGATGCAGGGGATGCAAGGGATGCTGGAAAGCCCAGATGCTGGCGATGCAGGAATGCTGGGGGTTCGGGGGCAATTTGCACGGTATCTGCAGTGTTTTTTGAAGGTTAGGGAACGTGGCATCAGGAGCCAGTCGCAAGGCCAGGGATGCCAGGGATGTTTGGCGGTCCAATGTTTAGGGCGTGCAGGTGATGCAGGGGATGCTGAGGAGGAGCTCGCTTGGGGTGCAGCAAAGCACGTCAGCGGTATACCCTACGAATAGGAATGCCCTCGCTCTTCGAGCTCGAAGACACACGGCGCAGCTGAATTTGAGCGTCCACCCTGCCGCTTTTACATTTCGGGTGCTGGGGAGAAAGAAACACTCACCACAGACTACCAGTGTTGTTGTCAGTTGCCATGGCCCAATATTGGTTATGTGTTGCCCCTGGAAACCTTTGATTACTGGTTTCCCACACTTAATTCCGGGGTCTCTGCTCTGGGGCAGCTTTCGCGGGGCTGTTGGGGATACCACCTGGGCTCAAACTGTTGGCGCCCCAGCTCACAGCTCACATGTTTACCCAGATTCCGGGTTTGGCGGTTCGGGGTGGTTTCTCATTTACCCTCTACTTGAGGAGCGGGTGAACGAAAGCTAGCAGTTGTTGCATGAGATGGGTCGGTGACAGAGTGGATTCATAGGTAGCTTGTGTACAACGAGAGGCCCGGCAAGATTCGTAGGATGCGACACGCAAACGCACATGGTGGCGTGGCAAACCTTGAAAAATGAAAACAACGAGAGGCGTCAGAAGCTGTCTTAAAGCACCTCTGCGTTCTGCATGCAGCGTGTGCAAAGATTCTTGCGAGGTGGTTTACCGAGAAGACTGAGGTCTCAAGTGAACAAGCTGAATCGGTGGAACATGTAAAAGTTCGTAGCACCAAGTCCAAAACGGGCAAACCGAGACTGCTGAACACTGAGCCACTGCCCGGGGAAAGGGGGATGGACCAGGGAGGAATCGAGCCTGAGACCCGGGGGGGGGGGGGAAGGGGGGGGGTCTAAATAATTGATATTTTTCAATCTTTTCGGCTCAAATAATTGAAAAAATCAATCTTTCGGCATTTGAGCCCCTTACCTTGCTTACGCAAGGAGAAACTTCAGCTAGCTAAAGCTAGCTTTCGTGACAAGAACCAGGGGTCAGATCCCCAAACCACCAATGCAAACCACCAATAGGCGGGTAACCTGAATAAGTGTGTTCCCAAAAAATGGTTGTCCCCACACATACAAACATACATGGACATGATAAGCCCATCCGCCCCCGCAAAAAAACAAAGAAGAAAAGGACAAACACGCAAAAAAACAAAAAAACAAACAAACAAAAAACGGACCGCACACACCCTCGGGGCGCGGGCAAGGGATTTGAAGACACGCGCTCGCCGGGAGCGCTGGTACTCGTTGATGACATCCAGCGCGGAGACCAAGTGCGCCTGTTGCTTAGGAGCCAACGCAGCACGCCCAGGGTTACAGTATTGTGAGCCATCGTCAAAACCGATCGGTATTGAAATGGCCTACCCAAACCAATTTCAAGGTAACAAAATACACAAACGGCCGCACCTAATTCTGGCTGGGACTGTGGCATACCAACCTTCACTTGCCCGGGTTTTGATTCTGGCACAGGTTTCTCCAAGAGGACATGGACAAATCGGGGCTCATCCCCCGTGTTTGTGGGACATTAAGTAGTTCCTCACAAATGAGCTGTACTTAGATGCTCAGTGGCCATGGGAAAAAGAAGGCATGCTGTTTTGGTTGGTTGAGTTCAAAAGAAACTCCTCCCCCCCCGCCCCAAAAAACAGGCGAGCTGGGGATCTGTCGGGAACTTGACAGTGTGACCAAACCTCACATACTCCCTTGCCGACTAACATGCAACCAAACAAAGCGTCGTCTTCTAGGGTCGGAATCTCCTTTGAGACTCCCCTTTGGCTTCCATGTTGATTTTCAGGGGAGGTGTCCTTTTGGGAGAATAGCCGGATTCCACTTGTGACTGAGCGAGCCCAACTAAGACCCGTGGAATCCATGCCGGAAGGCACATGATGGGAGTGTCGACCAGGTAAAATGGGTGACTGGTTTTCACGTCGGACGACCCAAGTCGCTGTCAGTAAATGGGGGAACCCCAAAAAATTGGGCCCGCGGGGGCCGGGAAAGAGGTCATTTCGTTTCCCGTTTCAACGCACCCGCAAAAATGTAGCGCAACAAAAGGACATCGCGAAATGCGGCATGGGCATTGCTTGACCACACACTTGGCGACTGTGAGCCCTAGGAAATAGTTGGTTGTCTTTGGATTGTGTAACCACTAATCCAAACCATGCAGAAACCACCAACTCAAAACATATGCAAGCTCTTCCCCCCCAGTGACCTTGGATTTTGGTGAGTCACCATTTCCAAGTCATGTAATTAGTGAGTGCGAACCATGTCACCCCCCTCTTAGCGGATGGGCCAAAAGAAGTAACCAAGCTGTTTATTGCCCACTAACATGCATGGTCCAACCCCAAATCAAATTGAAAAAAAGTCCGAAACGAAATTCGGGAAGTGAGCCGTTGCTCCGAAAATGGCGAAATGGCCCCCAAGGGACGCCTGTTCCCAGCGCTGAAGACCTCTCTCCGTGGAAGTCTGACTGGAGCTGAGCTCCCGCAGAGCCTCAGCGCATGCTGATCCACGCCCGAATGCGACATGGATCCATTAGCCACGATGGGATCAGCAACGATAAGATCCGACATGGGATCCCATGCCAAGTGCGACTTCTTTTTTGTATTTTTTACAAATGAAATTCCAAAAGCTGAATTAAGGGATCCCTGCGTGAAGGACCTGTACCATGGTGAGCTGGTTTTACCAGGTGAGCTCGCCATAAATTATGCAGATGGATCCAGTGGGTGGCTCGTCTTTCCTCGAGGGGATCGGGTTGCTTTGGGTTCAAGAAGACAATGCATGGGCTCGCCGTTTGGAGTTGGTACCCCTTTTTTGGGTGGTTCTACAGGGAAACCCAAGGCAACCCACCAGTTTGGGGGTCCCCTGAATATGGTACAAAAAAGACACGGCCAAATGAAAATCCAGGCATGCCCTAGCCGAATTCCATTTCTACTGGCTCATGGTTTATGGCAAGCCTTCCACAAGCTATACACATCACAAAGGCCCGCCTTCCCAGGTCGCTTGGGGCCCAAAGCACTGCGCTCATCTCAGCATGCACACGCAAAGGTCGAAACCAAAGACTCGCAATTCGTTGGCTCGTTGGCGCGAGTCATAGCCCGGGGAAGCGCCTGCTAAGGAATCTTTCAATCTTTTGCCTACGAAAGCGTTTTCTTTGCGCGATAAAGGAGCCCCCGCCAAGAGGTGCACTTTTCGGGGCCTTTCCGACATGACCACTCTCGAGGCTTTCGGATTCCATCTGACCCGAGGTCCCCACAGGGTCTTGGACGTGCTTGTTGACAATGACCTCTCTCCAGCGCATTTGATTTGCTGTTAACTGGGTGATTTGGGGATGTGCCCCCCCGAGAATGGTGGGCTTCCTTTTAGTTCCCTTTAAAGCAACCACCAAAAGGGTATTGTAAAAACCACACTCCGAATCGTCGGAGCCTGAGAGGGCGGTGAGTGTCTGAATGGATGGCCGGGTGGTTTGCACCAGGTCAAGATTCAGAATTCCTGAATAAGTTTGATCGGGATAGTTAAAAACAAACGGTCAGAAGAGGCTGGATTTACCAGACTCCACGACAACCAACCGACTAGCAGTTGGCTTTCCACCAGAAAGTCTCCATCCAACAATCATGCAAGCTAACGGAAGGGTTTTGGAAGTACTCCTTCCTCATGGACACATAACTAGCCACATGGGTTCATCTCAAGATTGAGGAACCTCCACAATTCGCTGGGGATCATATTTTCCGCCAACCATTTGGGTGTGTCCTTTTAAGGGCTCCACCAAAATGGTTGGTTTCCCTGTTGGCTTCCCTTAAAAAAACAACAAACATCAAGCAAGGTGGTATCCTCAAAAAAACAACACACCCAAATCAAAACGATACCCACCCTTGGCGGCATATCGAGTTGCAAAAGGAACCAAGCGCTTTTGACAACCCCTCCGAAATCAAAAGCAAAACCGCTGCGCCATTTTTGGGGCACCCAAAAGAAACAAATTCAAATGAGATATGGCGGTTGATCAAATGATCATTGGGGGAAAGCCACAAAAACAATGATAATTAATCCCCAACAAAAATGGGAAAAGTTGCCCACGGTCGTTTGGGAACGTAATATCGAACAACACCCAGTTGAGCCCAATACCAACTCACCGCCTGCGCCCAGCGCCCCGCCTGCAGCGAGTCCTTCTGCTGCGAGGCGAGCTGCGACTTGCACAACGCCAAGGCCGACGCCTCGGCTATAGGTACGATGTCAGCCGGTGCCTGGGAGGAACTCCCCACAAAAAGGCGCTAAATATGCATATTTATACATGTATGTATATGTATGTGTGTGCATATGATGTATGTATGTATGTATGTATGTATGTATGTATGTATGTATGTATGTATGTATGTATGTATGTATGTATGTATGTATGTATGTATGTATGTATGTATGTATGTATGTATGTATGTATGTATGTATGTATGTATGTATGTATGTATGTATGTATGTATGTATGTATGTATGTATGTATGTATGTATGTATGTATGTATGTATGCATGCTGCATGCATGCATGCATGTATCTATGTATGCATGTATGCATGTATGCATGTATGCATGTATGCATGTATGCAGGTATGCAGGTATGCAGGTATGCACGTATGCATGTATGCATGTATGCATGCATGTATGCATGTACGTACGCATGTATATATGTGTATATGTGTATAGGTGTATATATATATATATACACATTTATATATACATACATATATATATATATATATACACACCTCGGTCTTCCCTGGCACTTTTTCTGTATTTTGCAATTTCGAGCAAACAAACATACTCATTGCGCCCAAAAAAGCTCAATTACAAAACAACAACAACAAAAAAAAACACGCTCCATTCGAAAATTGCTCCGCTGTGCGTCCGCACATGTCTGCTCATTTCCCGCCGATGTCCGCTCGTTTTCCGGAAGAAAACTTGCCAAATCAAGGCTTCCGCTCATTTCATGTTGTTCGGCTCAAAATCTGAAACGAGCAAAACACATGCCCAAAGCCCGAAAAGTTGCCAAATGGAAGACCTAGGTGCATATATATATATATATGTTGGCCTGTATGTATTGCATGCATACAAGTGTGTATATATATATATACATGTCTGTCTGTACGTACGTGTGCGTATGCATGTATGTACGTACGTATGCATGCATACAGACTATACGAATGCATGCGTGCATGCATGCATGTATTCTGTATGTTTTGGTGTATGTGCATGTGTATGTGTATGTCTATGTATGTGTATGTGCATCTGCATGTGCACGTGTATGTATATGTATATGTATATGAATAATGTATGATGTACATGTATACGTACAGGAACATGCATATACATATACACACACACTTATACATATATGTATATATTCATATATATATATATATACACATAATTATACACCTATGTATCCGATGTTCTCTGGGTGTTTTTTGGGGTAGTAGAAGCTAGCTTAGTAAATGGGGCCTGGATGGACCTAGGTCCATGCTGTTCAAAATGGTTTGAGTGCACGGGACTAAGGATTAAGAATTGCCGTTGAACAGCCCACGAAATGGGCTTGCCTCTCAACAGTTGGAAGACGAAATGCGGGCCCGTGTTCCATTTGGTTCTCTTCAAGGCAACCTTAGAATGAGTGCCATCGAAACCAAACATTTGGACCGCTGGTCAAAGAATTGCCTGTCCAAAGAGTGTTTCATTTGGCCGAGGAAATTTCCTCGCCGGCCCTTAGGTACTGTTTCAATCGTCAGGGAAATGGACCAACGGAGCTACCAGAGTTCGTGTGGTCTCAACCTCGCCCGAACACAAAATGCCGCCGCAGTTCTGAGACTCCTTGCCGACTAATTCTCCGGGTCCCGGGCCATTGATTTTGCAGATGCTAACCTGGCACGGAGGGAACTTGTAACATCGCAAAGAGTTAAAACCAGTTGGGACATTCTGCGTATGGCAAACTTTCGTGTCGCAAACTATCTTTGGCCAGGATTTTGCGGTTGGACGTGCTTGGTGAATCTGCATAGTTAGAGAAGCAACCGTAGCAACATGAGGCCGCAGGCCAGGGCACTATGTCCCAGCGCAGGGGCCAAAACGGCCCCCTGCAGTCCATAATCACATCTCACATGTGTATCCGGCATACCCTCAAATTCGACATCTAGCCCTTCAGCTTTTCTAGATCCCCTGCTAAAAGTGACTCACTAGTGGGTTAAATGGAAACTACCACTAAACTAACTAAAAAACAGCTCAAAAGCCAAAGTTGAACCGGATGGGAACTGGGAACCACCAAGGAAGGCTTCCTTAAGCTGGTGCAAATTATGGACAGGCGCGCCTCAGGGACTTCGACGGCTTTTGATCAATGCTTCGCGGCTTTCTTTGCGATGCTGGTCAGGTGCCAGGTTTTGCAATTGAGCCAATTCTACGGTCACACACGTATGGTTCTTGGTTGCTGGCGAGTCAACTGTGGTCACTGGTATGGTTCTTGGTTGCTGGCGAGTCAACTGCTTTCAAGCTCAAATTGCCGCCAAGGCAGAACAACAAGAAGAGATGTTACGAACCGGTGATGCCGCTGCATCACCCTGTGTCTTGGAAACTGCCACCTCTTTCATCACATTTCCACCAAGATTGGACATGGTGTGAACACTGGTTGCGTCATCTAACTTCAAACCAAAATGTCGCTGTGAGGAAAAACTAGTTATACCACACGTGCACCGGGCGCAATTCATAAGCTCAGCCAATCGAGTGAACATCTGGCAACCTGCCCCCCATGCCATCTCTTTGTGTCGCTGCGCCCCTGCCAAGGCTGAAAATCGGGAAGGGACGCCGCCTTTGGCGACAGTGATCGAACTAAGCCAAGCCAAAGCCTCACTTCCGATGTGGACGAGCCAAAAACAGCTGGTGTTGTTTGATGCTTACCACCAAAATGGTCCAAACCCAAAAAGTGACTCAAGTCCGAAACGGAACTCGAGTGAGAATCCGCAAAAGCAGGCATTTGCCCAGCTTCAAGAAGAATATGTTCAAGGTGCGGACCGAAGACAGTGCGTCCAGCACATACCTTGGCTGAAATTACAAATGGACAGGGTCCCTTTTCCTCTTCAACCACCCCAAAGGAAAACGTTCTTGACAGTAGTCAATATCAAAACCGATCGGTGTCAAAATGGTGTGCTCTAAACTGTAAAGAATGTAAAGGGCGTGCGCGCCTATTTAATTGCTGGGACAATCCCTTGTCCTTCATCTACAAGGGGTTTTGATTGTGGGTCAAGTGAGGCTTGCGCCAAAAGCGGAAACATTATGAGCGCTACTCAAGGCTTAAAGGCTATGAAGGTGAGAGTGCCCACAAGTCAGGCAAGGCCCCCGGAACAGCAAAAAACTCTTTCACAAGTGCAGGAATCGACTGCAGATCGACCGTCAAAGAAGCCACGGAAATCCAGAAAAGAAGAGACGATAATTACACTCTTCCCTCTTTCCCCCGATCATGGTGGACAGAAGGGTGTTTGACAGTCATCTTAACAGGTCTGGTCTACTTCCATTGGACAAAACAAATACGCAAAACACACAACTCCAGGGTTCCCCAAATTGACCGCTTGAAAACATCGCGCGTTCCAAAGGAACTTATGAACCTCGGGCCCAACAGGTGACAACAGAGCCACAAAACACAGGGTCCGAAGAATGGGACAAGACAATCCTTCCTGAAAATCTGCCCTTCCGCCCGGGAAAACCCCCCTGTCCGCCGCTACGAAACAACAAGTGCCGCCCGGGAGCATTGCCTCGATCCCCAGCTGGTCTCGCAGAGTTCTCGGCAGGCCTGGGGTGAGCGATTCAAACCAGTCTGTCTGCATGGTTAAGGTGTTTGACCAACTGCTGTTTCCTCTTGGCTTCCCTTTTTGGCTTGATTTTGGTTTCCAGTTCGTTTCCGGTTGATTTCCCTTTCATTTCCCCCGTTTATCCAAAAAAACTCCAACAAACGTTGGTTCCCCTTGTCAGGAAAACCCAAAGTTATCCTTGTAAGAGAGATATGTTTCTAGCATGTGTATGTTGGCTTCGTTTACCGCTTAACATATCATTTGGAATAGACGCGGGACGTAGCCTATCATTGTCAAACAGGGCTGGTGCAGTAGAGGGGAAGATGCCTTACTCAGTCTCTTCCGTGTTTCGTGACGCAGGCTTGTTGGGTATGTTTGTTTGTGCTCCGCGTCATGATGCTATGCTGTTCTACATGTGGTTTCCATGTAGCTATTCATACTTGCTCTCATTGTGAATGCGGTTGTCATTGGGATTATCATTATCATTATTTTATCATGTCTTGTCGTGCTTTGATTCATTACTACTTGACTTTCTGTTCGACATCTTAGTCTAAAATGTCTAAAACACGCTAAATATATCATGTGTGTTTGTTCTGTATTGTCGATTTTGACGTTTAATATTAAGGAATTGGTTTATCATGTCTTGACGTTTTTTTCCGGTTCTCTTTAAAGAAAAGCATGGATTTGGATTCATGTTTCTCAGCATATGGAATATCATCTTCGGAAATCTTAGGATTTAAAGTATCGTTTATTGACCCCTGCTTCCGAGCTAATGCGCGACGCGCTTTCTGCTTTTGACCGTGGAGTTCGAGCTGCTCATGTTGCACAGCACAGAAAGCCAAATGACAGCCCAAATGAGAACAGCATTCCCTGACAGCGGCGACGCTGATCTAAATGATAGTTGAAGTCATAAACCATGTGAATAATCAATATAGGCTACCCTCCCTCCCATGTTGCCATGGCACACCTAACAGAGTGTGCCTTTAAGGGGAAACCGACCTTCCAGGTAGCCTCCCACAAATGCGTTCGGAGGAAGGCGACCTAGCCTCACTTCCGGAGTGGATGAGCCACAAGAAGTCCAAACTTGTTTTTAGCACTAAAATTGTCCAAACCCTCCATTTGCTTGAGTCCCTGGACAAAAATACTTCCAGTAGTGATAGGATAGATTCCCGTTAAAACCAACAGGGGAAACATACAACACCCTTTAAAACCAGCAGGGCAAGCAAATAAACACACATGTTCTTAAGCAAGTGGTCCAAACCCAAAAAGCTTCCAGTCCAGGAACGCAGGAAGGTGACTTGGCATCTGCTTCCAAAAACTTTAGGCCGTCGGCCTGTGCTTTCCTTCGCCCATAGCCGCGGAAGAGCCAGGCAGGGCCGAAAGATGAGGCACGAGAGTACGCCGGTCACGTGGTACCAAGCCATTACCTGGCCCGTGGGTACCCGATGGAGCTTGCTTGGGATATCTAGGTCTGAAAACCAACATTTTCGGTTGGTCCCCTAAAACAGACACACCAATATCCGACCAGTTGCTTAAGGGGTCCTTGGGGTGCCCTTTATGTGCTTGCGACTTTCTGAGGGGCTTTTGCGGGTACGTCTAAGGCAAACCAAGAGAACACCACCATCTTGGGGCCTATGTTGACACATACGCGGTTTCTGGTTCCATGGATGGATCAGGGAAGCCATGTCCGGCAGGCTGGGCATTAGGTCTGGCCTTGGAAGTTGGCCTTTTCGGTGTCAGGTTGGCCTTTACAGACCTTCCATGGGTTTGCCTAGCTTCAGCACCCTTGGGCATTTGTGGGAAGCCAAAAGGAAAAGTCGAAGCTCTGGAAAGCAACGGCCTGCCCTCAAAAGACAATTACCATTCCTCCCACTAACATGGCACCTGTGGGAGGGTACCTGGAAGATCAGTTTCCTCCTGGAGGGACCCTTTGTGAAGTGCCATTACCCATGCGTCTGGGCATTTTTTTACCGTTCCAGCAGCATAATGGGAACCCCCAAATGAAGGACCTAGATGGGTGAGCCTTTTTGTACCTTGTGAGGATTTGCCCTAGTCTTGCAACAGGGAGTTGGCGTGCCATTGAAGAATACTTAAGTGCCAACCTGCCTGCAACAAATGGGGCATCACTCTAGAACAAAGGACAGCAAGCCAAATAACACCATAAAACGTCAACCGTCATCCCAACTCCATGTTCTTCAGGCTTCACGCGCTTTGCCAACTGACTTTCGTTCTGGGCAACTTAGTGAGCCACTTGTATCGAATCTGTTTCCCATGACAACAGCCTTTGGGGCTGGCCCCGGTCCAAGCTTGGGTTGTCCCCCTGTGGCCCCCTAAACCAACAGTACACTTTATAAAATTGTGAGATATTCAAATGCGTGTTCTTGGCTTAATACAAAGGTCTATCTAAACGAAATAGAATGGAGTTGTGGGTTACTTCAAAACCAAACTTAGCCATGATTAAAGGAGTAAACTACTTTTTGCTAGTCATGCTTTCACCCCTTATATGGGGGCTTGTCACCATTTGGAGTCGTGGGTATCCTACAAGGCGGGGAAGTATGATTAAATAGCCCCCATATAACGCTGCCGGTACTTCCCCCCACCTGGAAATTCATCTACAAAGTGAAATATAGGGACCGCCCATATAAACTCACCTCCTGAGTGGATGGGCCTAAAACAAAGTATGAACTGTTTATATACCGCTAACATGGATTTCTCAAAAAATCAAAGTCCAGGATCTCACAGGGAGTGAGATTCAGATGCCCAGTGGCCAAGGGACAAACAGGGCATCCCTTGTTGATTGATTAAAGAAAAACCTGTCCCCCCCAACAACAAAAAAACACTGGGCAACAGGGTATAAGGACCCCCCCTTTATACCCTGCCTGCTTTTGCCACAGCAGGTGCATCACGCCGGCGTCCCGAAACCACGGGGCGGCCACAAGCGGCGTCGCTCGGAAGAGGCTCTGATAGACTTCGTCTCGCTTCACCTGACCGCAAACCCGTACCCATGATTGGAGTTAGGCCCAGTCTTGTTTGCTTCACTTTGGGTTATTGGTAAGATGCAAAATGTATCCTAAGTCTACCCCAGTATCCTGCCCTTCGAGCCCCCCAAAAGCATAAACTGGTTGAGACCGATAGACCTGCGGTGCAAACCACTGGCAAGATCAAGAAAACATAACAAGGACGTGACACTTGTGACGTTAATGGGTGTTGCTTAATATATGAGGGTCGCTTTTGGGGGGTACCCCTTTTTGGTGGCCCTAGAAAAGAAACATCCACATAGATATATCCAGAGATATATGGGTATTAACACTTGAGAGGCAGAAAAGAAACCACCAAGAGGACTCCAGCACTTTGCTCGCTCAAATCCGAGATGAACTTTTCAAAGTCAGCCAAGCTAAACAGAACGCCCTAAACAGAAATTTGCTTCCGGGAAACAAGCATCATACCGTGGATGGACGAAATCCTGCACCGCTCAGAAACCCTGGAAACTGTAAATATAACAGACAATGGTTTCATATTTCGCGGTGCGAGACTCACGGATTTCGGATTTCAACCATCCATGGTATTTAATGTTGACCCCATGTTTAATCAACCCCCGTTTGTTAGTAGGGGGTGTCCCTGGGTTTAGTGGGGATTTATCACTTTTAGAGAGCAACACCCCCCTTATACATAAACTGGGGTTGATTTCACATGGGGTCAACAGGCCCAAGCCCAGACTTCGCTGCGACCCAACCGCTGCCTGCAAGACCTCCCGGGCTTCCGCCTCGCCGCTCTCGCCCGCGTCGCCCGCGTCGCCCGCGCCCGCGGCCACGAAGCGGCCGAGGCCTTGGAAGCTGAGCCGCGCCAGGTGGCGCGGCAGCGCGCTGCGCCGGAAGCGCGCGCAGCGCGCCCAGGCGGCCAAGTCCTCAGGCCGCACCTGCGAGACGAGGCGAGGCGAGTGGCGCAGTTTGGGGTGAGCACGCTGGTGGATCAAAAAGGGCTGGGTGAAGTTGATGATCTGTTTTGAGGGTGGATGCCGAATTTGGGCGGATGCCATTTTGGGGCCCAACCATTTTTGGGTTCTCATTCGTGATATATTTGGGGCTGAAGGGGTTACGTATTTCAATTGGCAGGGGTTCGAAATCAAAAGACCATGCACATGAGTTAGTCTTCAGTTTGACCTTCGACGTGCCAAGAGGGATGTTGGTTTCTCTTTAAACACCGCCACAAAAACTCACCAATTTCGGGAAGCCCCCGCCTCCGCGTCGTCGCCAAACCTTGGGAGGGACCAAAGGATCCCCGAGGCTTCATCATGCGCGTGGATGACAACCATTCATGACCTTGACGATGACAAACGTGACAACCATAATCTGGATGGATCAACTCCATCACTGCACCACTGTTGGTGTTTTATCCCAACATTCATGGGCTTCATCCATTCCAGCAGAAATGTCTGCATCCACATGGCAGATGGCAATAGCCTGCATCGAGCAGTCCGTGCAACGCACAGCAGCCCTCTCCCCCAAAACCCCCGAGTGATGCTTCATGCCACGAGCTCAGGGGCCTGGATGTAAAGAGGAAGAAGGCGAAGGCAACGGGCCGAGTCCGGCAGACAAAAAGCGAGCGCAAGAAGCCTTCGGAAGCAAAGGCAACACCTCTGCACTGAGTGAATCGCAAAATGCTGCTCACCAGGCCTTGAAACGATGCAGGCATTGTCCGCCCATGGATCTGTTGGAATCACACCCCCCCCCCAACACCCCAACCTCCCCATCCCAACCAGACTGGCCCAGGTGCCAGGCATCCAGCAAGTCCTCCAGCAGCCGCGGGAACGGCTCCAGCGCGCGCCCCACCTCCGCACTGAACCGCCTCTGCCGCAGCGCACTCTTCAGCGATGGCAGCTGCGTCAGCGGCATCAGCGCGTCCTTTACAGTCCAACCCAAGCGGTACGGGCTTGCAAAAAACTGATCCTGTTTTTGGCAGCCCACCTAGAATAACGAGGCTGGTCGGTGGCCAATTCAAACCACAAAATTCAAGGTAACCTGACTATGAATGCCCCAAAAATAGTTATCCTTGGGTTCCCTTTAAAGAACCTGCCGAAGGTACCCTCAAACCATGAAATTATTTCTCACATGATCCACCAGTTGGCGTGCCCAAATCTGGCTTTGCATTTTCATAGGGGACCCTTTTGCGGACATTGAGGTGGGGATTCATGTCTACACTAACCGCTTTGAGGTATTGAAATCATAACCATTGAAAGCCAGTAGGTGTGGGATTGATCTCGTGGGGTTGGATTTTGGCTGGTTGGGGGGCTTTCATCAAAACCGCGTGCGCTGGCGATTTTGTCTCGAAGAGAGTCCTCCAAACAGAATCCTTTTGGGTTCCCTCTGAAACACCTCCAGAAAGGCTACCTCTATTTGAACTCAGACTATAAACACAACTTGAGACAACATGCTACAAGGAGAGCAAACAAAGAAAGCAAACACTTAAAGCTTAAACGCATAAACCAAAACTAATCCACATGATGAACATACGGAAACCATCTGCAGCACCAAACCAAAAGCCCAAACATGGCTCGCTCCTCGCCCAGCAGCTGCAAGACCTGCGGCTCTGTGAGTTCCCATCGCTGGCACCGCAGCAGCGCCTCCAGGAACCTCGAGAGGATGTTTTTTGTCAGGTGCTGCCTGGAGAGAGGGTTGCTGGATGAACGGTTTTTGAGGGTAGCCGACTTGCTGGGGGTTGCTTTGAGGAAAACCAAAGGCTGGCAGATTTCGGGCTGTTTGATTTGTCCTGTGCTCCTTGTGCATACTGGACGTACTGCGTGCCAAACCCAAAGACTTCAGTGGTCAACTCAGCTGGTCAGCCTCTGTGACAGAGCTAGCTTCCTCGGGCCGGGGACTTGGTACTGCAATAACCCAACCAATGTCCATCTAAGAAGGCTCTACACACAATGCGTTTCCTACAGCTTGAGTTGTACTGCTATACAAAGCCTTGTGTGACTGGTCAACACACACACACACAGTGCTCCTTTGCCATCCATCAACTCGCGAGCGGGGGTCCGTCGTTCTCAACGTTTCTCTCCCCAGAGAGGCGTCGGAACCAAACTCTCTGAGCGGCGGTCGCTCTGCAAGCAGCAGCAGCGGAAAAGACGCTTCAGCCCGAGATAGGAATTGGCCGCTGGCGATGTAGGCCAATGCGCCTGGAGGCTCTACTTGAGTTGGGCTCAAAAAGGGGGCCCCCAACAAATGGTGGGTTTTCTGTTTGGTTTCCCTTTGAAACCACCCCAAAAAGGGTTCCCTCAAAGGACTCACCCGCTTTGATCAAGGTTTTGGGCCTACCAGTGACCCCATTCCGCAAGCAACATTGTGTGCCACATTTATTGCAGGTCGACTTAGTTGCAACTCACTGAACGGTGACTTCCAACCATGGCCTTGGTGAGTCACAACCATGGCCAAGTCACCACTGGGCCGTTTGTACATACCCCTTTTACATACCAGTGGAAATGAGCCCAAAAGGCATAGTGGGCATACAAGTACCTCTCTCCCCCCAATCAAAGAGCAAATACCTGGGTTGGTAGGCGGTTTCCACTCAACCAAAACCAACCAGCGGTGTTTTTTTGGAACGCCCAGCCACAGAATCAATGGTGAGTCTCACTTCCTCCAAAGTCCAAGCCTTTGTTTTCCACTCAAGCAGTCTTCCCGAAGATAGAAAGGTTCAGGAACTTGGGATGCGAGTTCCTGTCAAGCGACTTACGCGCGTCCAGCGTAAGATGCTGAAAAAGCCTTCCTTGAGGTGCAGCGAAACTGAGAAACACAAAAAAAAAAAACATGCACCACGGTCACCATGTGTCATGGCAACAGGAGAAAAAAGCACCTCAACTCTGAGCACCTCAAAAAAGCTCATGACCCTGGATCAAGGGCCGTCCTCCGACATCCTTGGGTATATGGTGGCTTCTGTAGCCATGAGAAGGTCATCACCTCATGGCGGGTCGCCTGTTTGGGGGATCCAAAAGCTCAGAGCCTCATGTGAGCTCATGCAGATTCAACATGTCGTACCCTTGAGGTGGTACCCATGTGCGCCGATTCTCTAGCCCTTATGCGACTTACTCCTCCAACACCCCTCTTGATGTACAACCCAATAAAACACGGTAAGCTCACGTATGATACATAAAATGACCCTCATTCCCGCAAGCCTACAATCTGAATGTACAACTCTGGAGCAACGATAATTGTAAACACGCTTCTCCCAAGCATGAGGCAATTTGGCTGAGTATTACCCCAGCACCCATTTTAATGCTGCCACAGGATTAATAACCCCTAGTTGATCAATAGCTTTTGGAGGGAGCTTTATCCGCCAGAGTCGACATGAATTATTTGAGCCCGTTTCATCCCTTACATAATACCTTTCAACTGTTTAGGCCCTTTCGTCGCAGAGCTGCGGGGAAATCACTCATGAGAAATTGAGACACGGGAAGCCCACCGAAGGGGACAATCAACAGAAAGGTACAAACTTGGGTATGTGGGTGGCTTATCTTTTGGTGTCCCTTCAAAACGAGCAACAAAAAGCCACCAACTCCCAACGAAGACAGACCCATGTAAGGCGGACCAATAAGTTATGTTCCTCCTGTTAACCAAAGCCCCCCCCCTTCCATTTCTAGGTACAACTCTGGAACCGAGGGACCTTGGGCGATTGAAGCCTTGTCCTCTTGGACAATTTGAAAAGGGAAAATTGAGTACCCTTCAAAGAAGACACGCATGAGTGTGCCTTATTTTTCGGGGACCCCCAAATGGATTTCTGTTCTCCTTTTGGATTCCATGTCAACAAACACAAAAGGTTGTAGCCCCCAAAGCAAACACGCGCCAAACTGACTGGCCCTCCGGCCTGGACTTCTCGCCACGGACTGGGCGAAGCCGTGCCTGTGGCTCGGTTGGGAACTCACGAAGGTTTCCCGCCATAGGCGACCTTTTGGGAGAAAAAAAACACGGCCCGGGTAAATGAGGCATAAAACCCATCCAAACAAGTGGAATCCCGCCTATTTCACCAAACACACCAGCCAAACACGCTTATGGTTTCCCCTGCCATCCGGGGCGAAAACAAGCTGAAGAAGGATGAACATCTAGATCTGTTGACCCCCCTGCAAAAAGATTGACTCTAATGGGTCCAATGGAAAATCCGCTGTTTCCCGCAAAAAAAACATCCAAAAATCCAGCCAGATAGCCACAAAGGAAGGGACGCTTAGGGACCAAACGCGAAATCCTGCGCCGAAGCTGGCCTTAACCAATAAATGAATTTCCAGGTCTGCAAAATGTGTGTTGGGCCCAGAACAAAACGAAACCGATGGCCGAGAACCAATTTCAACTGGATCCTGAAGCAAGGTTCCTGAAATACATCCAAAAACCACCATATCAGGCCAAAGTGATATTATACTGACCGGCCGAAGCGTTCTCCTTTAGTTGTGATCCTGTAAAACGACACAAACAAGCAGGGTGCCATCTTTGCATCCAAAGGTAGACGCGGGAAACGCATTCCTGGTTTCCAATCCACCCTTTGGGCGAGCAGCACCCCCGACACCTCTTGACATACTAAAACGGTTCAGGTGTCTGAAGGCTTTCCTTGTAAAAACAGGTAGCAACCGCCCCTACGAACCGATGCCTTTTTGGGCATCATGTTTGCCCCACGCGCTGAAATGTCAAATGGAACGGAACTTCGCGCGCCTCAGCAGTAGCTCCAGGGGCCTGGCCATGAGGTCCTGGGTTCACATTCCAACCTCAACACATCACTAGGGAAACTCACCAATGGGCCCTAAAGACATCACCTGTGGGGAAGTCACCTGCGAAAGTCACCGGGGCCAAATCATCACCTTTTTAGGGGAAACTCACCTGGGAAATTCTCCGAAAAAATGACAGAGCCAACTTCAGCTTGCCCCAAATTCTTGGTTTGGAGCTTCGTGGTTTGCAGCTTCGGGGTTTCCTTTTGCTTTCCCTTATATATATATAAACAGCAACAAGCTATAGATTCCAAACACATCCACACGACACAAGGACATGACAAGGAGCCGAAACCCCGTCTCACCGTCTCCTTCCGCGCCAGACACCAGCAGCCCAGCAGCGGCTCCAGCGCCTGCAGCCGCTCCAAAGCTTCGGCCACGCCCAGGAAGTCCTCCAGCCGGGCGGTGGATGCAAGCGGCTGAAACGGGTTTACACGACAAATAACAACGGCAGGATGGTTGAAACAAATATCTAAACCAGAAAAGGAAGAAAACAACTCTCATTGCAACATGGAATCTATAAGAAAGCAAAAACAAGCTATTGCTGGAAGCATTGCTTAAACGAAGAAAGGAAAACACTCTTAGTGATGCATGTCTAAGCAAGAAAAGGATGGTTTACACGAAAACAAACACAAACAAAGACGGTAAAAGCATGCTTAAACCAGAAAAGAAAGAAGCAAAGTCTTGTCGAAACCGTGGTTTAAACAAACAAAAAGAAACAAAGCTTGAAACAAACAAAGGGAAGACAGGCCAAACAAAAAACATCTTTGACATGTTGGGCGATTCAACCCTGGGATGCCCTGGCTTGGTGGAACACCAACGAAAAGAGGCCAAGGGTCTGGGATAATAAACAACATTCGGCTGCCCAAATAACATCCGGTTGGATCCCCTAGGTGGCCAAATCGATTTGGCCTGGTTGCTTAAACAAGTTTCGCGCAACCTCAGAAAGAAGAACACCAAACTGAATCGAAATAATGTTGAACGCCTAAATACGAACCAAACAGAACTGGGTTGGTGGTTCCATGCATCCGCTGCAAATGATGTCCACCAGGTTCACTTTTGAGGGTAAAGGCAAGCCAAAAGGTGGAAAGCTGAGAACTTTGCGAAATACCTGTTCATCTTGCTGGTTCTCAGCAGGGAATGACCCAGGCTGTTGGGGATGAATGTCGGGATTTGCTTAAAGAAAACCATTGGAATGCGTTATATGGTCATTCAATCATTCCCTGCTGAGAACCAGCAAGTCATTGCCTTTTGAACCAAAAGGTTCCACCATCTTTTGCATGATGAGAAGTCGTGACTTGCGGGGTGACCCTGTTTGGGGTCTCAAAGCCACACAATTGCAATGGCTTCCTGTGGGCGTCCCTTTAAGACAACTCCAACATTGAATGGATCTGGAAACCGTACAAAGCGTTCGGTATCCTTCAAGCATCCCTTTACAACAACCCCAGTGACTTTAAGATTAACAAAAAAACATTCATTTAGATCAGTCAACCTCAAACCATAGAATGGCTTTGGAGGAGACCCGGTTCTGGCTCCCCCCCCTCATTTTGCAAAAAACTTGTTTGCCTCTCCCAGCGAAAGGTCCCTTCCTCCTGGTCCATAGATGCCAGCGCCGGAACCCATTCGCCCTCACGCAGTCGGCTCATCAAGCTCCGCTCCAGCTCAACCATGAGGTACTTCCTTCGGAGATTCCAGGCAAAGGATTTTTGTTTGCAGTAGGGGTTGTTGTTCCATTATTTTCAAATATCGCTCTATTCAAAAACCAGCTTTTTCATAGATTTATTGTATTGCTTTTGTATAGTACATCAGTATAGACCCACCAAGAATCAACCTGCACTGAGTTGTTTGTTACCCCCATACATGTGTTTCCCCAAAGGAACCAAACGCGGATGGATGATGTTTCAAGTCTGGGACCTTTGTTATAGTGTCCTGAGACAAAAATATTGGTACCGGGTGTCATTGGATTTGGGATACTTTGCTTTGCTCAACCCGCCAAGTCCTGGCACAGCTTGGGTTGAAAACGCGAAAAGGCTATAAGTTATATACAAAACTCGATTTCCAACAAACAACAATTTCACCATCAAAAAAGAAGCAGTTTTTTTAACCCATCGAAAGCTCGGTGGTGGTCGTCTCCTGTAGAGGGCCAACAGCTGGAGGCCTTCATCAATGCCCTGGCTGGCTCGCAAGCGAGTCTCCGTCTTTTGAGGGAACCCCGGGTTGGTGGATTTTCAAGGTCAACTGCAAATATAATAGACAAAATAGGGCATGTGGGGTATCAAAGTTGGCTGACCCTCCAAAATAATCGGTTTCCTTTCGGAGTTCCTTCAAACCAACAACAGCAAGTGCACCGGGCCGCAAAAACACATCCCCATTTGGGTGTGTATTTTTGTTGAGGTTACCTTTTTTTTGAACTTTTGTGATGTTTAAACAGGTAGAGGACACCCAACAATTGTTTGGGGGGTCGCGCAGAAAAAGCCACACCCGCCAGCTCGAGCCTCGAGCTGCCGCAACTCCGCGAGCTTGGGCAAATCCTGCGCGAACAAAGAGGGCCGTACAGGTCCGGGGCTTCCATCCGTTTTCTTGCTGGTTTCATAGGCAGGGAATGAGAAATGGATTGACCAAAAACTATCCCTGCCTAGTTGCTTCCTTTACGGGAACCAAAACCGGCTCATTCCCAACACCCGGAAGGTCTTTCCCTACCTATCGCACCAGCAAGTTTTAGTACCTCAGGTGCCCAGCGCATTTTCATGGGAAAAACAGGCGCACCCTTTCCTTGAATGGTTCCACCATATTGCTCAAGACGCCCCCCAATTAAAAGTGGAACCCCTTCACAAGAAAAGAAGAGAAGCAAACGGGGGTTTCCCGCCCAAGAAGCGGAACCTAAAAAAGGGTTTCTGGAGGGAAACAATTTCCCTCTGGGTCCTGGCAGCTTTTGCGAGGCTAAGATATCGTGAAAAAGGCATCCACACTTCGGAAACCACCGCCCGCACGCTCCAAGTAGTTTTAACATGAGGCCCTCGAGATGTAACCCCTTTGATGGACCTAGTCCATGCGACTTACTCGCACTGCAGAGCCATGCAGCCCTTTTGACACCCTTGGCCACGAGTTTGGCACTTTTGGATGGACTTGTTGCCGAGCGGAAGGTTGCACACCTGCCATGTGACTGACTTCCTCGTCGATCCAAAATCTTCCTTGTGCCGTCCGCCTTTCTTGCCCCGCCCCAGGAATGCGCCTGGCATTTGTGCAGCTGTAAGAGCGCCTGACACCTCAAGTCACTCCGAGTCTCGCACCCTTCCTTTCTAGGGTACCTGAGCATGTCCTTCTGGGAAAATAAATGGTAGATATTGCAACCAAGTTTCGCTATTTTCAACCAAACCAAAAGGACACCTTCCCGAGGTCTTTGCATTTTTTTCAACAGGCACCCTCAAACAAGTGCCACGGAAGGGCGTCCTCTTTACCCCTCCCCTTCCATGGGAGAATGCCGCACCTCCTGTCGGACCTTGGCATTTTCAGGCATGCCGTTGGGAGGTCTTGGCATATAAGCTTCCATACCTCCAAAACTCCCACACCTGAAAATGCCCATTCACATATTAAGACTCGGGCCAAGACCAGGCGTCCTCGTCTGGGAAGTGCACGTGTCGTGATCGGCCCTACCATGACAAAGCACCCACGCACTTCGATGGAATCTGCTACACGATCAGACCAAACAGAAACATAAGCTAGACATGAGAACAAAGAGTACATTGTCTATATTATATATATATATATATATATATCGATTCATGTATGCATATATATATACATAAACACCTTCAAAGGTGCACATATACAGATATAGATAAATATTGCTTATCTAATATTCATACGTTGCATGTTATGCATTTCAATAGCCATTCTATGCGCATCTCTTGAAACAAAGCAGGGGCGGTTGTCAAATGTGGCATCTCCCCGCCCCGAAGGCGCCCACTCGCCTCCTTCCAGCTGCCTGCACGGGCTTGGCGCTTCTCAGACAAAATGTAACACGATCAAAAGCAAGAACAAGAAAAACACGCAATGATAGCAGTGAGACAAATAGCAGAGATGAGGATGATGATGATGGTGATGATGATGATGATGGTGATGATGATGATGTTGATAATGATGTTGATGATGATGTTGATGTTGATGTTGATGTTGATGTTGATGTTGATGTTGATGATGATGATGATGATGATGATGATGATGATGATGATGATGATGATGATGATGATGATGATGATGATGATGATATGAATGTTACAACAATTTCGAAACAATTTAGATAATACTAAGGCCGGTGAGCTTCCCTCAAATTGGTGGTTTGAAGCCTGGTTGTTTGGAGGTGTTCCAGGAAACGTGGTGTCCTATCCAAAGGAAGTAAGGGTTTGTGTTAAATAGGGAGCCAACACTTCGGTTAGTATCCCTTTAAACCAACCGCCATTTGGGGTTTCCCCCACAAAAGACGAGCTACGTAGCTATATGGCTTTTCAAGAGGGGCAAGCCACCGCAAACGCCCAAACCCCCTCATGAGTTTCATCGCAAATCGACCGATCGGCCGATTTCACGGTGCTCATGGCGCGCCTAAGGCCGCAGTGAAGAAGGGCACTTGCTGCAAGGCTCTGCTGTCGCACAGGAACTCCCAGACCTGACAGTTCAACTCATCCCGTCCGTTTTCTGTGGACAAAAGAAGAAATGCATATGGGGCGCAAGAGGGAGCAAGCCAAGGTTTGCACCTGCTTTTTGGAACCGGTGGAAAAAACGGGTTGGAGACATACTGGATTGTGAGCCTGCCAACCAGAACTGTTGAAATCAAGCGTGCCCCACGTATGGAGACCGACAGAGATTCATTGGATCTGGGGTGAAATCAAGGTGATTGAAGTTTGCCTACTGAACAGGTGTAATCATCTCAGGTGAGCAGCGCCCGACACCCGCTGTCTGTTGGTTCTACTGGGACGGTTTTAAAGATTTGTGTAAGCCTTAATACCCCGACTAATCGGGCTTCTGGCAATTTTGGGTCCTTTTGCCAAATCTAATCCACACTTTTGGGAGAAACAGCAACGTTGTTCCCAAGGTGAGCAGTGCCCAAACCACTTCTGGTTCTACCAACCGCTTATTAGACTATCTGGAGATCAGGTAGGGTTTTGGTCGCTGCAGGGGGGGGGCCGTTTTGAGACAGACCCTTTGATTTTGCGGCAGGTTTGTCAAAGGTGTACCAGGGACAACTGGACAGGCCGCACATTCAGGTGTGTCTCAAAATAGGGGCCAGTCCCCAAAAGTGCGACTTTCCCTTTGCTTCCTGTTAAATACCAATACTACCCCCCCCCCAAAAAAAAGGGGGAGTACCGAGCCTCAACAAAAGCAAACCCACTTGAAGGCTGTGACCGACTTCGAGCTTCTTCGGCGCCGCACTCGGCCGGCGCTTGGCGCTGTCAGCCGCACGTCCGCCACCTGAGACCAAATCTTCCGTTTGCTTGAGCCCACTGGAAGAAATACACATATTTCCAGTAGGGATAGATTCCCTTTAAAACCAACAAAAGAAAATGCAAATGGAAGAAATGTGTTTGCCGTCCTCAGGGGCGACTTCACTTTTGGGGATTCACCTTGGCCTTGCTCAACAAGTTGCTGTCAAGACTTGCCGGAGTGTGACTCGAAGCTTGCTTGCTCTCGGGCTCACTTCAGCAACTCGAAGCTCTCAAGTTTTCACCGGCTCAAGAGTTGCTTTCGCCTTGGCTCACCTCCTCCATTAAGGAAACTTCCATCACGTTCCCGGAATTCGGTTCTTCTCTACCGCAGTTTGCTGGAAGACTTGTGACTCCGTCACTCTCTGAATTCCGGACCTATACTCCGTTGAATTTCCCCCGTTGGGCCCGTTGGGCGTTTGCTTTGTGACGGTTTCGCTGGGCGCCTGGCAGATGGCGCGCAAAGGCACACCACCGAAACATCCTGCACGGCTCGGCCAACCCTCCCAATGTCGGTCCCGGAGAAAAAAAACGCACGCCTGCTGGATTTTGTAAGGGTCACTGGATCTGCCCTTCAAAAGTTGCAATTTACAGTGGGTGCCATTGAAAGTGCCACTTTTGGAAGCTCCAAAAAGGAAAATGGAGAAACCCCAGTATGTAGGGGGGTTTGATTGAAGACTTGCCTCTAGAAAAATCACTGGGCATGTCTCTCAGGGTCCCATGAGTCATGGCAGTGGGGGCTCGCCTTTTTGGAAAGCCTATCCAGGCGTCACCAAATTGAAAACCCTTTTGGGGTCCAGCCATATCCCAGCTCAGCCTGGTAGAAAAAGGATGGCCAAGGCCTCTGAAGAACTGGGATATGTGCAACCAAAGCAGAAGCCATCTGGCTTTCCAAAGGGTGATATGGATGAAACCACTGGAGAACACACACTCCATCGCGGATTAACATGGAACCCCGAATACCATGGCTCGTGGGGTCCATGTGGGTGGGCGTCGAAATAGGGGCACCCCTCTGGGTGCTTTCTTTTTGGTTTCCATTCAAACCAAGCTGCAAAACGGTACCCACAAAACAGCAACCCACTACCAGGGATTTGATGATATGCTACCCTCTAATTCAAAGCACAATTAAAACAATTGAGGTCCATACAACCACCATTGCTCATATTTTAATCGGAGTTGAACCCTGTCGCTAC